CGTTTTCGATGACAGCACGGGACAAGAAATCGTTCAGGACCGGTGCCACCATGACGTCCGGCTTGTTGTCTGGCCAGTCATGCATCTTCTGCCAGCTCTCTAGAGCCTCTCCCCTGCACTGGTTCTCGTGCTTGAAGTACTTCTCGGAGAACCGAATGACAATATCATCGGCCTCCCATGGCTCCTTGGCCTTGTTGGCTGTCGGGTCAAACGGCTCTAGGGGGCTGAAGCCATCGCCGCCATCGTCGGATGACGCGCTGTCGTCGGGAAAGGTGCTGCCGCCCCCTCCCCCTCTTCCGGCTGAGCTGTGAAGCGCTGCCGCTTCTCTGCAACCGGTCCCTCGCCAGTCGAAGCTCGCCGCTTCCTCGAGGGTTCTGAAGACGTCAGTTGGTTGACCAGCAGTTCTTGAAGTCCGTCCAGCTTATCTGAAAGCAAAGAGAAATTCTGCTCTAAGGCAGATATACGTACGGCACTGCTGTCACCATTCTTCTCTTGAGTCTCCAAAAAGACTTCTTCCTCGCTCTTCTTCCCGAGTTGAGAGTCGACACGTGTGTCTTTCTCTTCCTCATGAAGTTCTGCAGACTCGATTCCGCCCGCCGTGGACTCCACGTCGTCGCCCGGGGCCGTAACAGGCCGCAACTTGGGCGGCTGTGAATGCTGTGAAGAACTATCATGGCCGCCCCCAGGTGGGGAGGGGGGCGCCATGTGCTCGGTTTTGGACGCCGTCCTCTTGCGGCTGGCGTGCCTCGAGGAGGAGCGCGAGCGCTCCTCCCGTTCCTCGGAAGCTCTTGAACTCTTGCGTCGTCTGTCCTCGCGCTTCGAGCCCATTTTTACCAAGAGAAAACACCGGGGGTGTGTTGCCAGAGGCTCAAAAAATAAAGACTGACCAGTGCGCATGCGCAGCAAGGAATCATGGGAGTTTCATTCTGGGAGCTACCAAGTGAGAAATGGGGGTGGTCAGGCCCACTACACCTTATGTCATTCCACTGAAGGCTGACATACGAGGGAATGCGGAGACAAATGTGCTTTTGCAAACCTAGCAGTGAATCCAGGCGACTGCCTACACCCTGCTGTAAGTCCTCCTCCAACATCTGCAGGATGTCCGACACCTGAAAAAACATCAACAACAACAATATAACGTATACAAGAAGATTAGTCCTCACATACTCTTAAGCTTTTTTTTCTGAAACAATCCTGTAAACCAAAACAAGTCAAAGACAGTTCACAGCCTTGGGAATTGGGATAGTAGTCCCAATTTCTACCTTCGCCAAGAAGGTTATGATCTCGGTAGCATTTGTGTGTATGTACATGTAAGTTGTGTGTTCAAACAGGATAACTCAAGAAGCTTTTCACAGACTGTCATTCAAAATTGGTAGGTGGGAAGGTCTTGATGAGACCGCGAAATTATTAGATTTGGGCCCCCTGGCAGCCTGTTATGGTACTGCAATGGAACTTCTGGTTTTGGTACCTGAAATCTAGACATGTTAGGGTCACGAATTTTGGATGGTAGATAGCTCTTGTGTGCTCCAGCTTATAGTAATACTGCTGAGGACATGTGACCTTACAACATGAGCAATGGGTCAAAGTTGGGTAATGCTAGCAGACATTTTATAAATCAATTATAATTGATGAATTTTCTGGCTGCAACAATGGGAAGACAATAAGACATGTAGCTTCTGTACCTTCTGAACCACCCAGCCATAGAACAGAGCCCCTTCGCTGGGTGAGTTGTCCTGTATGGTGGACATGACAGGGTCCTCGTCGGAGAAGATGGCTCTGTACTGAGTCATGATGTCAAACAGGTGCACACGACTGGCCTCAATCACCTTGGTGATGTGATGGTAGGGGTCGTCCCTGGGGATGGCTTGTAGGATACCCTTGTACCACGTATCTCTGGCCTGTAGGAATAAACATGTTACTGATGTGTGTTACTGATGTGTGTTGGGATGTGTGTTAATGATATGTGTTGGGATGTGTTTTACTGATGTTACTGATGTGTGTTGGGACGCATGCTCAAATGTACACAGTGACTTTGTGTTCCAAATGATGCTAATTTTTGGGACTGTCAGACGATCAAAAACAGAATGCAGAAGTATTCATAAGACAACATTTTTGAAAATAAATGTCAATAATGATTCCCTGACTACCTGCAGGAATTTGATCCTTAGTTCCACCTCAGAGAATGCTCCCATTCTGCGGAGGTATCCGATGATCTTCAGACAGGCTGGCAGCTGGATGTTGGTCCGTAGTTGTTGTATCAGCTGACTCAGCATCAGTGCAGTGGATGTGGAAACTTCCCGCACTATATCCTACAGAAACAACAATACATGTATCTGATACAAATGCTATCATCATGTATATCACGCTGGGCAGGAAAAAAATAGGATTCTACACTTAACACATCAAAACATATTACGTGTTCAATATATAGTTTGTGAGGTAAAACTGGAAATATGAAATGAACTGTTTCCAGGCGTCAATATTCACAGGTTCTTTTTAGAACATTTGTGATATCATTAATATAATTTTTATATTACCTGCATTTACAAACATGGCAATATAATTGTGTACAAGTCGAAAGCTCATTTTGAAAATTGTCCTAATCTTGCAATGCGTGCCTAATAACAACAACTTTCATTGTATAAATGTACTATGCAGCATGGACAGGTTAAGTGCAAGGTGCAATTTCTTCATCAATGTTTTGAATGGACAGTTTTTGTTTGTTTAACCATTCTACATTCACGAAAGCTCAAATTGGCAAGCTAGCCACTTTTCATTTAGGCTATCAGGTAAGAGGTAAGGGTCAGACAAAATATATCAATAAGATAAAGTTTACAAGTCTTACTACATATATATTATATACACATATTTTACATAATATAGTAAATACAAAAATGTACATAGTATTACATGTAGCTTTAATAAAAGAGAAGATAGAGGGAAATTCAATGTAATTTCAGCATACAGACCATGATGACAGGGATGTTGGAGTGTTTCTTCTCCAGTCTGCTGACATGAGCTGCCAGCTCCAGGGCTTCCTCATAGTAACCATTCCTCACACACGTGTCCATCAGCTGTACAAACAACAGGTAGTCAGTATCAAACAAACAAGCTTCAAGTCACTCCTGACAAGACACTATATGTATAGGGTATAGAGTTTTCTTCATACACAACCAGAGAGGTTCTCACCTGCTTACGTTTCGATGTCTATCAGACACCTTCCTCAGAGCTTCTGACTGGACGAGGGGGGATACAAGCTCAGCCACGTTTGGGATTGCATTCTCGCCGCAAAAGCGCCACCTACTTTGGCGTTAAATAGCGGCGAGTTGCAGAACTCCAGTCAGAAGCTCAGAGGAAGGTGTCTGATAGACATCGAAACGTAAGCAGGTGAGAACCTCTCTGGTTGTGTATGAAGAAAACTCTATACCCTAAGTATCTTCCAACCTGATGAAATTATTTGCGGACTATATGTATAGTGTTAGTAAATCTATACTCCTCTCACTGTGCCTGGATAAAAATACTGTATGCAAATTTGTGGACATGTAAGCTATAAAAAAACGTACATGCAAGGAGGTTAAAAAACATCCTTGGTACATGTATACGTTATTGGGCTATGGAAAATTAATGGCGTGTTTCCTATTACATTCCTTTTTCCTATCTTATTTCCTTTTGTGGTCCTGAAAAAAATTCAAGTTGCCAGGCACCTACGTACGTAGGGATTTACTTTTAAAAAGTGGGCAGACCAATTTTATTTCTTTCTCCCCTGCTTTTTTCTTCTGTTTAAATACATGTATGTTATTTGTGCGGCATGTCTTGGCAAAACTGTGCCATATTAAGGGAGGCCTTAGATTAGAACATGTTGGAATGTTGCCACAAATGACAAATTGTACATGTATATATCGGGTTGATGGAAAAAGGAGTCCAGTACAAACAAACCCATACAAACTCTAAATAGTCATAGAAACTCTAAGTACCCATAGACACTCTAAGTACGCATAGTGATTAGAAACTCGAAGTACCCATAGAAACTAGAAGTACACACACAAGAAAAAATTGTGCCTATGGTCTTTCGGAAAATTTCGTAGAAACCACCGGACTGCTTTTTCCACCCCAAAATCGGACTGGACTGCTTTTTCTGCCAATCGGACTGGACTCCTTTTTCCATTAACCCGTATATATCTACCTGTGGCATCTCCAGTATCTCCAGTAGCTGTGTGTGGTGTGCCAGTGTGAGGGAGTTCATCCTCCGTCGGGTATTGATGTCCTGTGCGTGCTTCAGGAAACTCTGACACTTCTCCCCAAACACCGGCAGTTTCTCCAGGAGATTTTCCAGACGTTCCTCCACCAGACTGAAGTCCTCGAAGATGTCTTGGGAACATTCTGCTGTCTGTGTAGGGCAGGAATAAGGAAAATACAATTTACAGAAGAAATATTTAGTTTATTGCAAGTACTTGCCCGTATGCTAATTGCAAGTAACGTTACATGTAATGTATTGTAACATGGAAATAAAGAATGGACAACGAATAACGTTACATATTGATACGAAATTTGGAATGTAGTCTTAATACCTTAAAGGCATTTGGAATATCCTCACAAATAATTTGCCACGTTGTCATAAAATTTGCACCATGCTATCAGTATCAATCTCATTGATACTTTCTGTATTTCAGCAGTTTAGAAGTCAACACATAATTTATTGTGTCAGGCTGCAGTGTTTTTGTTTACCCGTGAATGGACAGTTTCAGTTTTTCTAAGAACTTGGCGAAATGAACATAAGCATGTACCTTGATGAATGTTTTGTAGTTGTGGAAGGCCAGGTCTTGGGTCTGTTCTAAGATGTGAGCTCGTTCCTCTGCCAGTCTGTCCGGCTCCCTGCCCAGCTTATCGATGCCGTAGGAACTGAGTTCGGCCAGATACAGAGCAACATCGGGCTGCCCCCGCCAGGAATCGGGCAGCAAGTCCTTGAAAATTGCCGCAAGTATGGATTCATCTTCCACGTCTAAAACTCCCGTCGCCATTTTGTTTGGGGCGATACCACTATGAAAAGAAGGGGTGTGTGCGTTGGTACACGTCAAATCATGTGTGTCTATCTGTGTCCAATGAGGTTTAAATCTTGATAAACCTCCTTGGAGTGTCACTATTCACAAACTAGAAAGACCGACAATTGCTACTGAATATACAGCATATTTCGTTCCCTCTTCCTCCCCATAGTGCTTTTCAGAAAAAAAAGTTATATCTGCATACAGTGCTTTTTAGTAACAATATTGTATAAAATTTTTATACAATTGCTTTCTTCAGCAAAAGCTTCTCAAAGCTCCCAACTTTCAAAACACAATACAGTGGGTTTTATTTTAAGTGTTCATTATCCTCCTACACAAGTCAATATGTACCAACAGAAGAATACTAGCATGTACTGACAAAAGACAATAATGTCCTTGGTACTGAATAGTGTTCTACTACTGTAACATAATCTTGGCACTTTCTTGGGGCAGACCACTCACGTTTAACTTAGTAGGCCCGGTGCTCATTTTATGAATTTACACTCAATGAATTGAATATCATAGGAAAGAAAATCACACATGCATTCAAGGATATAGAATACATTACAATATGTCATATAGAATAAAGCAACAACGGAAAGTTGAATATTCCAAACTTTTTGCACCAAGTTTATTATGTTGTGGGTTTGTGCCTGTTTTGACCAATGATCCAAGTAAAATTTTGAAGAACCAAATTCAAAGACTAAGATTGCACTTCTTGTGATGACAACCACTTGTAAATACTAGTATTAGATTATTCTGTAAATGCACATTGTATGCATCAAATGTACACAGAAGCTATCATCAACTTGAAGTATCATATTAAAAAGCAAGGATAAATTTCTGTATGGTACATGTGGTAATGAATGCTTAATGTAATTTATGTCACATGCATGTAACATTATATTTAGAGATATGTGTATCCATAAACTTCGACATAAAATCAACTTTAAACTTGGACAGACACAAGAAACCTGTAACCTTTCTTTGTAATCTTCCATTTGGTTAACTGTTACAACATGTAACATCATTAAGACAGAAATGAAGGTACATTGACATGTACAATAATATTGTCTGAGCTAACTTGAAATTACATGTAGCCAACTGTTTTGGTACATGTATGTATCACACCGATCAAGCAGTGTCAACATATATATATATAATTGGCATTACATGATTGGGCCATTATTTATAATTCACTGATACTGATTACAAGTTATTTCATTGGCCACACCTGTAATTGACTCACTCATGACTTACAGGCACTGATCTTTCACATTTAGACACTGGCTGTATTCATACAGTAACTGGTATGAACACTTGCATTGATAAAGGATGTATATCTGGATACAATAATGTACATCACGATACATTTTGCATGCAAGTCTCAAACAATAACAAATAAATAATTATAATCATATTTTTTTATTACAATCTATTGCTCTCATCAGGGTGCTAGGGCCTAGGAAAAAATATTGTATTTCCGATTTCAGTCCTGAGAAAATAGGTAGGGATTCTCTTTTTTGTTCTTAAATTTTGTTATGTTCTTCTTAAATGAAGTTATTCACCAAATACATAATATTGTATAACAATGTATGTAAAACTCAAATACATCAGGACGTGTCAATCCATTGGTAAGTGGGGAAGTGACAAGTATTTCAACCAATTTACTCAATAAAAAATTGCTTCTGAAAATGTGACCAATAACATTTCAAAAGTCTGAAAATAAGATTGAACATTTTATAGAATTGCCAAAAGTAAACCCTTGGCAGTTTTTTTGCTAGGGTTGGCAATTGAGAAACCAGAAATACAACATTTTTTCCTAGGTCTAGTTACACAAAAGTAAACAATCATTATAACAAAATGAACATTAAATTTCACTGATTTCAGTGATAAAAAGTAAGAGCAATGTCTTTGTCAATGTATTTTATATTTGCAGCTGGTTGTATTTCATCATATTCAATGAAACAGAAAATAAAAGAATTATCGCAGTACTGATTTATTTTGATTATGTAGTAATGAAACGATGTTCAAAGGAAACAAGCAGCAGAACTATTCTGTTCATGGCAAAAATAAATGGGGAGGTTTATGAAACTTAGAGATTGTGATATAAATTGTACTGTATAAGGAAGACATTTTTAAAACATCAGAATTTTGTAGAATGCTGAATTATCTTTACTTCCCTGAATAAAATGAATCAACTGAGAGTGTATCCTTCTTAAACTACTTTGTTCTAAGTTGGTATTGCAGTCTTTGTTGGAATAAAAGGATATACATTGTATATCACTGCAAATTCATGGACTCTGGACAACTATTATGTTTCCACAGTTTTCAGGCTGGTACATAAATCTATGGCTTTTAACAACATAATAGTTAACATATTACCAATTACCATCAAAATATTTTAACAACATAATAGTTAACATACCAATTACCATCAAAATATTTTAACAACATAATAGTTGACATATTGGTTCATTACCATCAAAACATCATAAAAGTCAATGCCACATTTTACAGTAAATCTTGAAGTGTTTGCAGCATTGTTCATTTTAGCAGTTTTTGCAATGATTTTCTTGTGACTCCATAGATAATTCATTTCCAACTGTATTACTCAACTACAGAATTGTTTCATTCACCAACTTAAAGCACCAAAAACCTTATTTCCCACCAACCACAAAAGTAAGTCCCGGCAAAAATAGATGAATGATTTACAATACTGTTTTTTAATCTCTTGTTTTAAGTTAAAAATTTTGATCCAACACAAAAAGTTCTCTTACCTAGAGCTTTCGACAAGTCACTCTGGTCTTTCTCAGTAGACTGAATCAGTGAGACTTGTCACGTGGCTTCCTTGAAGTGTGACGTCAACACTGGGTCTCACTGGGTCAGTCTACCAATATGAGGAAGACCAGAGTGACTGCTCAAAAGCTCTAGTAGGTGAGAAAATTTTTGTGTTGGATCCAAAAGTTTCAACTTTAAACATGTAACTAACAACACAGATGAACTTTCATGATTGTATCATCTCTGGTACATGCCCTGTGCATGTCCATGTAACAAGGACAGATAGTTGTGCTCCGGGAACAGGACTTTGCTGAGATGAGCGAGAAGCGCCGGGGCATCCCTCAGGGTGTGGAGAGGGTCCATGGTGAAGCTGTGGATGTACTGGATATGGCTCTTCAGCGAAGAATATTGTTTGTTTGTCTGAAGGGCTTCCAAGTTGGCCAAGCTCTGCAAAACACCATTTTTACATGTTAGTACCTTTACCTATATTAAGGTTATATTTTCAGTTGCATTTATCTGTCGGTCAACAAGATAACTCAAGAACGGCTTGATGGATTGGTTTCATACTTGGTGCGTTGGTAGGGTGTGGCGAATGATGGAAATGATGGGATTTTGAGCCTCCTAGTGGCCTTGCTAATGAGCAGAATTGTAAATGTAAGCCATTTACAGGTGGTCATCACCATGCATTAAAGATACAAATTAAAGCACCAAACATGTCATGGAGGTATGAGATTGCCAACTCAAGTTGTTGTTTGAAATTTCTTGTACAAAATGCACACAAATTGCCTAATGTCATGCCAATTGTTTATTGGTGCTGTGGACATGATGTTTCCATCATAGCATAAATCAAAACATTTTCCAACTTCATAGGTAACTGCTCACATGCATTTGTCACAATTTGTTTTGGAGAAGTGTAAAACATACTGTCATTATGCAAAAAACAGTTTCTCATGCAACTGGATATGATTTTGGAAATGGTCAGACGTTTCAGGTAGCATCCACTACCTTTCGGCAGTGACGCTGTAGAATTGTTAGAAAAGCAGGTTTATAACCACCAACTATTGATTACATATAGACATTACATAGCTTGGAATCACAGTCAGGCTTATTATAATAATTACATTTAGAGTTAAGGGATAAGGTTTGGATTGAGTTGATGAGACACAAACGTTTACCTGCAGAGCTTTAGGTGAGGGACCTTCTGATGTTGACGGCATACCAGGCATGTGTCCAGGCGGCACCTGTCCCACAGCATGTGGATCACCTGGCTGCAGCCGCAGGAAGCTGACAGATCGAGCCTGGGCCAGAAGGAATGTGGACAGACCGCGGCATACGAGACGGAACCTTCCAAAACAAGGACAATTCACAAGTTCATGCATAAAATTTCTACATATTATTGATCTTAGCACATCAAACAATGATTTGGACCTGCACTTTTAGAAAGAAATAATACATGACTAAGTCTTGTATATTCAATTTGACCCAAAGTTGTCTGCTTTGTATTGCTTGCTTAGATAATTTATTTGTTAGTTTTATGTAGTTTACTGTATATATCTTTGATGTTTAATGGCAGCCCTTCTATTGAGTTTTATCCACTTGAGTGTGTTGCCACTATCGCCTTGTACTTCTTCTCTAATTGAATTTGTGCCCTAACATTTGGCGTCCCTTAGTACATTATATTTCAAATGTAGGCATCTTGTTTTTTTTGGCACTTCTTTCTTTTTTTTTGTACTCTGTAAATATTAGATTTAGGGTCTCCAGAAGATGTCATCCATACAAATTACTTGGTGTGGCCTGATAAAAAAGATTTAGAATCATGTACAACAACAAAAAAACAACAGCTGAATGTTGACAACCTGTGTGACAGTGGCGACCTCTTCCCCAACCCGAGGGCGCCGAGCAGCCCAGCGGCAGACTTGTCCTCCCCGAGGGTCGCCAGGCTGGAGGTCAGGTTCATCAGGGCACAGAACACGACCTTGAGCGGCTGGTTCCTGTCCACCTGCTGTAGACAGATCCGCAGCACCTGCCACCACCACAGCAGCAGCTTCGCTTCATTGTCCGCTCTGCAAACAATACAAACGTGTTACAGTTAAAGATGCACTAGTGACCACTCCGCAAGCTTTGATAATTCGGTCTATAGTGGCCACCTTACTGTGCCAGTTTTGTTCAAGTCCCTTAAGTGGTCCCCAAAAGATGCACATTATTTGACTCATGACGATATAGCGACAAGCTATTACAGACGTTTTGAACTCTTTTCCAACTGCCCTGTCTATCCTGACTAAATTGTGCTCCTCGCGGCCGCCAGCCCCAAAGGATTGTTGATGGTGTATCACTGACTCCAGGCCAAGAGCTTGCCCTGTCCACCTTGGTCAAAATGTACAATAAAAAATGCACAGAAGTAATGCACAAATTTGACTGAAGTGCATCCAAAGCTTATTGGTTCAACTGCTAACTTTGATTGACTGCCTTTTGTACCTGATCTGATGTAAGTTATTAAAATATGTAGCTACTATAATTGAGGTATGGAGGCAGAGGCAACAGGTGTTCTCATATGCATACACACCTGGGTTTTGCAGCAGCTGTCCACGACAGCAGCTGCTCAGCCAGAGTCATCTCATCCCTCGGCGCCTGACACATGGGCAGCCGCTGCAGGACGCAGGTGTACAGCGTCAGGAAGCAGCCGTGCTGCAGACACTCTGACAGGAAGTCCTGCTGGGCCAGCTCTGGAATCTCCACAGCTGCAAGCACCTGGTCCCAGCCGCACTGGACATTCTCCTCCAGGCCTGAAGTGAGGAGCATTAATTGTGAGTCTTCAATCATAACTTTTATGAAATAAGAAATAAACCATTTAACCATGATCGATGACTAGTTGTACAGTTATAAATCACCATCGCAGTCCCCGCATAAATGCAGCAAAGTTTCAGGGTTTAATGTCTCGCTCTCAATCAAATGTGCAAAATGCTGTCGCCACTCTTTACAACTAGACATGAGCCAAATCACGGACCTCATCATTGCTTTCTTCACTTTCCCACTACAGTTACCGGTACTATGTTTCTAAAAAAATGGACCACAACACTAGGTTTGGTTGATGACTAGAAGGAATTATAGCTGCGGGCTTGGAGAGTTCCTGGACTCTGTTACAACAGATTTCCGTAACCTCAGTTACCGCTCAAGTAAGATGGCCGTGAAGTTTAGATAGAGCCACATATAAGACAGGAAATTGTCGTTTTGACGACATTTTACCTGTTTCCTGGGTTTCTAAGGGAAGAAACAAGGTGTTTGCTGTCATTTGTAGCCACCTTGCTGAACAAAATGTTTGTCTGTTACCTCCGTAACCATTGTTTGTTACTTTTAATTGTACTGTAGTAAACTTCACCTGGTAAAAAGAAGTTTTCCAGTTTTTAAAGGTCTGTACTTAATGCTCCCTTGCTCTTAAAAATGAAGCTACTAGTAAAAACTGTAGATCTTTTTGGAGAAAGAAGCCAAAGAGTGATGTTGCAACCTCCGTTACAGTATTCTTTACATTTCAATGATCAATGAAAACGAGCCAATTCTGTGTTTTATTATTAGTTCTGTGTTATGCAGCACTTTGCAAGGGTACCCACCTGAGTTGAGGAAGACCTCTATCCCACACTCCACCATCCGTGCCATGTGTGCCGGCGATGCCAACGTTCTACACCCGGCCGTAACCAGGGGCAGAACGAGACAGCTGCAGGAGTTGGACTCCAGCCACTCCCAGAAGAATCTGGCCAGTGTTTCTACCTTATTCTGGTCAGGTGGACAGTTGTTCAGCAGACCTAAAGCCTCCGACAACAGGGCTACCATTTGGCTGTGCTGGTGATGACTGTCAAGAGCTGGGGACAAAATTAACAGCTGATAAATTTCTAGACACTCCAAAATGAAAATGTCATTGGCTAGAAGCAACAAATCCCATGGTTATGATAGCAATTAACTGTAACTCAAACACTTATTATACACAAAATATGATAATTATTATGCCGAATGGAAGGTAAACTTTATCCTTTCTTTTCTTTTTTTCCAGACACTTGTTATCAATAATTGTGTAGCTGACAAACAAACAAAATTTATGTTCTTGACAAGCAAGAGCAAATTTAAAAGCAATACTAAAAGAAGCTTTCTATTCAAAAGCCGCATTGGCCTTTGAGAATGATAATCACAAAATGTATTATTTATAGAAAGTTTTGGATCTGAGACATTTTCATCAGTTGTACTAGTATATCTGTTTTACAGACTAAGATGGAAGATCATCACACTGGTAGCCAAAACCCTTCTGGATGACCAAAGAAGAAATGGATCAACAATGTACATGTAAGGGAGGACCTCCACCACCTTGACCTACATTGTACATAATGTCAACCCACAGGATACAGGCAAGGGCTGCCACCAAGCCACAGTATGGCTGTGCAAGCACCTCTAACCTTGAAAAGTCAGGGTACAACAAATCTAAATGCTAAACCAGACAGTAAGTGAGAGTGAGAGATGGAATGAGAAAGCTGACCTGATCCAGCCAGACTCTCGATGTCTGTGAGCAGACCAGTGATGATTGGCTGGTAGCAGCTGATGTTGAGGTTCCTCCTGGCCACACAGCGACACACCAGCTCCACCACACCTCGCACATACAGCTGCTGCTTACGGAGCACATCCTGGACAGTCACACATTGTCAGGAAAATATACCTTTAACTGGAGGTACATGTACTAGTAGTGGGGCTGGGTCTATGCGACAGGTTCGGAATTGGAATTTCACAGCTGTATCTGCCCCCCCACCCCCCGAATATACAGAGGAAACCGATTTGGACCTACATGTATAAGAATGTGAAATATAGTGCACATCATACTTTGTGGAAAATAATTTTTTATTGCCAAACAAGAGCAGACATATGAATCCCATCATTTTATAATCTTTTACACACCTAAAAAATATACAGAATAGTAACTGTTACTTACCCCATTTTGTACTTGCATCTCTGGTTTGAAACCAGCAGCAATTTTCATCAGCCTGTAAATAAGAATGCAAATTTATATTTACTTTACAGTAATGTTGTAGTAGAAGAACACTAGTAAGGAACCTAGCTGAGTCGTGCAGGGAGGACCTTCAGCAGTCCCAAAGAGAACCTGCCCCAATCGCGATACACTGTACACCGTTTTTTGAAAGTTCATCTGTGTTTGTACATTATGAAGCAAGTTTCACCTTGACTGGAGTTGTACAGTCGGAAATTTGGGCACGTCCAATTCTTTGTACTGGAAATTACAGTTTAAACTTGCTTCATAAAGACTGGACACCAGGCTACCTACTGACCCTATCGGCTGAGGAGAAGGTTGTCCCAGGAACAGCACCACGTCTGGGTTGGCAGCGTCCACTAGCCAGGACATGGTGTTCTGGTAGGCTGCTGCTGACAGGTGCTGCCAATCAAACTGTTCAGCTTCCTGGACCCTCCCACTCACAACCTGGGGGAACAAACATGTCTCATGACCTGTCTTACACATGCACACATGCTCATTCTGGTAAAGAATTAACTACTGAGAGAAAAATCCATGAAAAATATTCGTACAAAATGGAGGTGCTGTTCTTTATTCCAGCATTATGGTACAATTTTAGTAGCTAAAACGTACATGTAAAACTTTCTTTCTATTGCATACAGTGGAAAATGCATCATAATTATTTTGTTGAAAATAGACCCTTTTTATACCTATTAAAAAAAACCCTGCAGTGTCAAAAGAAAAAGTCTGTGAATCTGTTGAATATAGCTATCATTTTTCATGGCTAAGTCTTTCCTTTTTTCTTGATTTTATCATTCTTTTGTATCATTTGATTTGTTGTGATTGTACTTATATTATATGAACTAGCTCTTGCTTAGTTTAACATTTTGTTACTAGTAAAAAAAGGAACAAAAAGTGTGATACAAAATGCATATACCTCGCCCTCCTGAACGCTGAAGTGCACCAGAAGATGCAGCAGACATTCGAGCAGACGTGCCCTGATCTCAGGCGGGTCGTGGCGGCAGTAGTCTGACACCATGGTCACACAGTCCAGCCGGATGAACACAGAACACAGAAAGGACCGACACACGGGGTGACTCTCCTCCAGCAGCTAAACAAAAACAAGCATGCAATTTTTGTCCTCTAACTTGCTGTGGGCCCCAAAGTAATGTAACATTTACAGATAGTCAGGGCTAAAAATACCGGATGCATGTAGTGCACCTTACATGTAGTGCACCCAAAAATGGAGCTTTTTTTCTGTGGGTGCACTGGTGCAAATATTTTCATAGGTTTATGCATGTTAAAGATGTTAAATGTATAGTATAAGTGTGAGAAATATAAAAGATAAATCTGCTGACATTCTTGTTATTATATTTGATATGGTGCACCCCAAATATTTTTGTGCACCCAATATTTTAGGTTGGGTGCACTATAGTTAGTGCACCTATCCCCAAAAATGAATTTTGAGCCCTGATAGTGAAGGTGCTCTATTTCTTTGTGCTAATGCACTGATTATACATGTATACAGCAGCAACGTGTCATGTACATGTGCATTTTTGTACCTTCATCATGAAGTTGAAGGCCTGAATGTCCGGGTAGAAGTGTTCCCAGGGGAGGGTGACCAGACTGTCGTGGTAGACTCTCAGGACATGTGGCTGGTCGGAGCGGGCGAGTGAGGAGCAGTAATATCTCCACATGAGAGCCAGCACGTCATGGCTGTGGGTTGGAAGGGCACCTGGGAAAAACCAAAGGACAACCTCTGTCAACCATGATCAACCTGTCTTTGATCATGCTTTTATTTGCAGGTATATATGGTGTACCTAAAACAAGGAAATGCACAACGTGAGTTCCTCATGATACACACAGTTCGCACATTTGTGTATTTACCTCTCGGTGCGTGAAGTTGGTATGGGTGTGTATTTCCTCACGCCACAGTGATTTCACATGTATATTGGTGAGAAAGGGAACGGCAGCGTGGCAATGGTTTTGTTTGTAGGATCTCTCCTTTGTGACCATTGTCACATTACAATAGCCCTCTTAAGTTTTGTTGGTAGGATCTCTCCTGGGTGCTGAAAGCATTATCACATTAAAAACCCCTGAAGTTTTTTTTTGTAGGATCTCTCCTTGGTACTGAAAGCATTGTCACAAGAAAAATTCTTTTAAGTTTTGTAAATAGGATCTCTCCTTGGTGCTGAAATCATTATCACAAGAAAAAAACTCCTAAGTTTTTTTGGTAGGATCTCTCTTTGGTGCTAAAAGCATTATGACAAGAAAAAGCCATCTATGGTTCTGTTGGTAGGATCTCTCCTTGGTGCTGAAAGCATTCTCACATTATAAAAACTCTATAGTTCTGTTGGTAGGATCTCTCCTTGGTACTGAAAGCATTCTCACATTATAAAAACTCTATAGTTTTGCTGGTAGGATCTCTCCTTGGTGCTGAAAGCATTATCACATTATAAAAACTCTATAGTTCTGTTGGTAGGATCTTTCCTTGGTGCTGAAAGCATTATCACATTATAAAAACTCTAAAAACTGTTGGTAGGATCTTTCCTTGGTGCTGAAAGCATTATCACATTATAAAAACTCTATAGTTTCGTTGGTAGGATCTCTCCTTGGTACTGAAAGCATTATCACATTATAAAAACTCTAAAGTTCTGTTGGCAGGATCTTTCCTTGGTACTGAAAGCATTATCACAAGAAAAAATTCTCTTAAGTTTTGTTGGCAGGATCTCTCTTTGGTGCTAAAAGTGTTATGACAAGAAAACGCCCTCTATAGTTCTGTTGGTAGGATCTCTCCTTGGTGCTGAAAGCATTGTCAAATCTTGATCTAATTTGCATAATTGATGAGGAAATGACTACACAAATGTGCAAACTGTGCGTGTTGTGAGGAAGCTCACGTTGTGCATTTCCTTGTTTTAGGTACCCCATAAATATATAGCTCTTACTGTTACAGTTTACTGCAATGTACATTTGTACCTCTTACAAATTTTACCAGTCTTCATACAAAAATACACACTCAGTGAGCCTGTAAGAGTGGTGAGACATGAAAATCTACAAGCCAAGTAAAATCTGACCTTTGTAGTTTGAGAAGAGCAGCTGTAGACAGTTTGTGAAGTTGTCCATGACCCCGGCAGCCAGCTCACACTCCTCCTCTGTCCACGGCATACACTGTCCAACTCCTGAGGGAACACTGGAGAAAAAAAAGGGTCTTTAGCACTTGTACCTCTATTAAATGATAGATGTCAGAAATAGTTACAGTAACTATACAACTACATGTACTAGTACTACTACTAAATATAAACAAATACTGCATACTTTACGATAATAAAAAGAAAACCTCCAAAACATCCTGATGCAAACAAAAACATTGCAAAACATAATATTGGCCTTACAATAAATAAGATTCAGAAACAAAGTGTCGAATTTAGGGCCCCACTTGTTAAGTTTATATTCGTATGAAGTATATGGCAGAGGTGACAAATACATTGTATGTAGTGCAATTATACATAATTATGTATAATAATACATGATACTTTTTTCATTATACATAATTATGCATAACCCTCTTCACCATTAGACATAATTATACATAACCCTTGTCAAGATAAATACATTTAGTCATAGACTATGAACTCTTTTCACCATAATATTCATAATCATCCATTTTTTTACTATTATAGAATAAAGGATCAGAGTACTCAACCGTACCTGCTAGAAACAAGTTCGGCAGCATCCAAACTGGCAATCCAAGGTTCATAAGCAGATTGAAGCAGAATCCAAAGATTCTCCACTTCTGAAAAGACAAAAGCAGCTACAACTTAATTTCTCACAACTGAAATGTTACACACAGTAATTTGGTAAACTGGCAGTGGATGTTCTGCTGCAGTACAAAGGAAAGATGCCAGGGGGCCAAAAATAATCTTTTCCTTGATAGGTCAATACCTACAACATACAAATTTCATGACAATCCATCCATATTACATGTATAAGCTTCTTGAGTTATTGTGCAAAACATACACACACAGACATGCATGTCACAATACATACATGTACATTTTAACATTTGTTACCAAAAACATAACCTCCTTATGATATTAAGGAAAAGTAAGAAAGAATAAAATGGTAAAAAAATATCAATAAACCCACTACCAAAATTTATTTTTCTTATTTTTCTTTATTCAGTCGAGTATTTCTAATATGATGCTCATCAATTGTAAATTAGAATTTACAAGAAAATTTTAGAAAAACTTTCTTTTTTCAGTCTTCAGACAGGATATTTGTTTTTTATTAGGTCAAAATTGGAGTATCTTAAGATTCTACCCTTAAGATCTTTATTCTTGTAGGATGTATACATCATTCACTGACCACTTTCAAAGTTCTGACTTGGTACAGCAGATCCAGCGTCCGTCTGTAGGAGGGTAGTGAACAGCAGGCGGAGCAGCTGTGCTATGTGCTGTACATAACCCTGCTGTTCACAGTACAGCCCCTTCAGTACAAGCTGCTGACTGCTTCTCCTCAGCTTCATGTAGTGAGAGCCCATCCATCCAAGGGCTTCTGTAACCTACACAGGAAAGACATTACTAAGTTTCACACATTGACAAAATGTTGTGTAGTATGCATTGCACTCAAATCCACATGTAATATTTGTTCTGGAGCTGCAGGGGAGTTTCTGGCAAATTCTTTTTTTTAAGTCGATAGGTCAAGAAAGGAAAGAGATTTTTATGATAAAAAATTATTCTGCATCTAGGTACGAAGCACATCAATCAAATTCAAATTATGTAAATATAATAAAAACTAGAAAGGCCGACATTTGCTTGGGAGCAAATACAGCATATTTCAGTCCATCTCCCTCCCACGCAAAAGTGGACTATTCCAAACTCACCTCAGTGCAAAACTGGAAGATTCTCAAATAGATGAATTATATTAGAGCTATGTAATTGATAACAAAGATGCAAGATCAGCACTTTGAATCTCGACAGCTTTACTTACAAAATTTCACATCACTCTTATATATCGCACAATCTTATAGCAGGTATGTAAATACTAACAATGATGAGATTTGATACATTTTGAAGGTCTAATTGCAAAGAAAAGGAAACTATACATAACTTTGTAAATATATATAGATGAACTATAAAACTATAAGTTACATACATACATATTGAACTATACATTAATTAAATGCACTATGACACTATACATAAATATTGAATAAGATGTACATGACTTACATATACTATAAAACACTACATTCATATATTGAATAATCTACATATGATTGACATGATTATATATATCATACATATACCATGCAACTACAAATATCAGATGTTGAATATGCTATACATGATTTGTGTATACTATGAAACTACTGCAGTACCGTTCCCGTTATAGTTACAATCACCACCGTTACTATGATCGCATTTCTATAAGTATAACTCGTTAGTTTTCCGTTACTAACTGGTTACTTTTTCGTTACTAACCCGTTTACAAACGCGCTAGTACTGCATTTACTACCGGCGCACTGCTGGAACAGCGGAAGGAACGTTGATCTAGCCTGCATTTTACTATATTGTAACGTTTAAAACGTTTTAACGATCACCGGTGCATCAATTAGATTGATATTTTCTTTTGTCACTGTTGCCCAGGCAAGCGTTTCTATAGTTTGTCAACTTTATTTTACTGTTTTTCTCTGTTTGTTTACTTACTTTACCACCGAATATGCAATCCTAGATGATCTGAAGTTATAAATGCCCCGGTCCGCCGTACATTGTAATAGGCGGCGGGCGTGAGGTAACGTTAGGGATGTGCAAAAACATCGCGGAAAATGCCTTTAACACTCGAAAAAAGGCAGCATATTTACAAGTGCCTGCAAACATTTTATGGCTAATTCTAGGCCAGTTTTGGGGAGTTTTGTTATGTCCTTTTTTGTTTAGAGTGGGACCGGACGGAAAGCCGTGCCGCGACTCCATAATCGTCCGACTCCGTGTACTTCCGTGTTACATTACGTTGTACGTGACCAACAAAATTACGCCAAAGGCACCACAATCCCACATGTACATATATATTTATTCCCGAAAAAAATTCTTTTGAGTACGCATTTCGTCACTAGGATGTTGCTAATTAGTCGTAGAAATAAGGTATAAAGCAGCGTAAACATGTGGCTCGAGTTCTCTTCACTTCGCGCGCCCCGGCATGCAGCCGGCTTCGTTCTAGCCAATCAGAGCGCAGGTCATCAAAGGTGAACCAATCAGAGCGTAGCAGTGCGTTGCTACTTGCATATGTTAATGAAGCATGCAGGGTCCGTCCGTGCTGTTTGTGACAGCGAAGCTCTGCTGAGCGCGGCTGGAAATGTGTTTTGCAACTACATGTATATTTTTACGCGGCTTTTTTGACGTTTGACGCTGACTTCGGCACGATATGATCGCACTACCATGTACACGCTACCGGAGGCGGCAAATGAGTGGTCATTTTTACACAATCATCGAGAAATTTTGGCGTTATGCACCCGGAAGTGCGCCGATATCGGTTTGCGTCCCCTCGATTTTTGACAGTTTCCCCCATCAAAATAAGAAACAAAACTACCGATATTAAATAGAACCATGTATTACAATTATCATTTCAACATGATTGATCTATAACATATTCCTTTCTAATATAAGTATAATATCATCATGGTTGTGGAAAGTCCTCAGGTAGCGAACCATTTAGTCGGCATGAGTTCTTGTGCCGCGCCGGGAGTGACGAACATTTTCTTACAAGTTACACATACCTTCCGAAAAACTTTGCGGCACCCAGGATTAGGATGGTCTGCATATTCCCTCGTCGTGATTGTAGATGACTGATGACGTAAAAATCTAGGTAACGTTACATAAAATTGAATGTGTGGGTCATTGTGCACGACTTATACGTGCAACGTGACCTCAGGTAACCCGCAATGTTCGATGTGTTCGATGGCCAACGGCAGATAGAACGGGCATTCTTTAGATCGAACGTGGAACGGGTACAGCACTTTTGGCCCCTTTTTTGGCTGAAAATAGCCATTAAAGTCCCCTAAATGAGTCATTTGGAAATGGTGTATGCCAAACATGTGACTGCTATTCTGTAGACACATGTTCAAGGTACCCTTATACCGAATTTAAGATCATTTGGTTGTAAAACCAGCGCTCAGGATCCAAAAATCCATTTTTTGTCGAAAAATGCCCCAAAAAACCTTCATAAAAATTTTTCAAAGGCATGTATCAAAAAAATGAAAAAAACGCCTAGGGGTATTGGCCCACTCTACCTCCTTGCCAAATTTCAGGTCATTTGACTAAAAAATGACAGAGTTGAATCCCTTTGACTGTGTGGCAGGAGGAGGAGGAGGAGAAGGAGGAGAAGAAGAAACATGAGGGAACACAATATATTTCATCCATACCATGGTATGGACTGAAATATAATAATGGTGAGGAGGCAAATGAAAGCTTCCTTCTGATGAAGTATTGAATAGTAATAATTGCATTCTTCGAATTCTTTTACATATGCCATTCACTTTATCACAACTCAGCTTTATGCACATTTGTGAGAAAAATGTATTATTTGGCTGTCAATGTTGCCGAAAAGAATGCAATGCCTGGCTTAGTAAGTTTTTCATCTGCAGGATATCCAATGTCTTTTAAATTTATGACTCTCCTGTCTTAATATATGTTTAACTTAAGACTTACCTGTTCAGGAGTTAGGGATGTTAAAGTGACAGAGTCACCTGTAGAACCAAGTTCTGCACAACCTAAGGTTCTCAATGTGTTCTTCCAGCACAGAGGACTCAACTCTTTACTGTCTGAGCCTGTGAGTGAATACATACATGTAGCAGAAACATTAGTAAGATACATATAATGTGTGTATTCATATTTTCTTAACTTAGTATCCTTTCACACACACGAACACACCTAACACAATACCTGCATAACAAAGCAATGGTGGATCTGTCAATGATTCTACCATAATTGTTATGATGCAACACTAAAAAATATGTGGATTTGCCTGTTACCTTGCAGTAGAACCTGCAGCACATCTCCGAAATGATCAGGAAAACTGTATCTCAACATGCTCTGCAGGTGGCTCTGATATACCTGCAAACACAAATGGGTAATATCCATCATGTAAGTTTATAGTTCATGCTAACTTAGTAAGAATTATTAATAGTTCATGCTTTCTGCCTTTAGGCAGACTCAACAGCAGAGGCCAGTGCTACATGTGTTTTCTAAAACTTAGTAAAAGACCATGTTTATTAATACAATATGAACCAAATTTGTAAAATTTAGTTGCAGATTAATAAGTAATGGAACTATTTTTTATAATCCAGTAACTGAGTAGTGCCCCTCCATTTGAACATCATACGTCTGCATTATATTCTAATAATTTTTATTAAGTCCAATTTTGGTCACTCAAGGGTCGCCAAGAAAATTAATCACTGTCTAGTGAATGAATGAATGAATGGTTTATTCAGGTTGACACCTCATAGTCATACTTACTTAGTATACTTGTACTTGTCGTTATCATAGTCATAGGCTAAAGGAAATCAGTAATCTTTTGCTCTATTCTTGACAGCTATTGAGTAATCATGTTAGGTATGTGTGTGAGTGGAAAGTGAGCCTTGGGAATACCTCAAACACCATCAGCATGTCAGACTTTGGTTCTGGTCCACACAGGAGCAGCGCCTTCCCGATAGTGTCCACTAGGTGTGACCGGTCAGTCAGGGATGGACGGCAGCCCTCCAGCCACATCTGCACATCAAACTGGAACCAGGGAAAAATAAGAGTGACTCATTTGAAATGGCCATGTTCCAACTGTTAGTTTGACTTGAGCAATTAAAAAACTTGGTTTGACAATTATTTTCTACAGTTTGCTAAACATTTACCATGTAACAGTATAAGACTCATGACTAGACCATTGTACATGTAGATCCGTATCCTGTCTCTCTTTAACTTGTAAATTTAATGTAACTAATTACTAGGATCCAAACCATCATAATTGCATTTGCATACATGTACATGATTGACTGTACAAATCCACCAGTACTGTCAAGAACAAGAAACAGCCATGCCTTCAAATATCACGAGTTATCAACCAAGAATTGAGGTGTTCAAAAACCCATATTTTCTTAAGAACTATGATAATCGTAGAGTGGAACTCGTTGCCACCAAGCACAGTTGGGGCATCATCACCAGAAATTTACACAACTCCTGCAATTAAAGGTGCAAAGATTAGGTGTAACAAGTTGTTTGGTGAAACATAGCCAGCTGCCACCGCACCGCGTGCCTGCGAAGCTGGTGTGTTATGATGAAGGGCGGTTATACCGGCTATACCAATACAGATACAGACACTGTCATTGATAGATTTGTACCATCTCTTTGAACACTTTGTTTGTGATGATAATGATCAGTGTATTTTTCTGACCTTGGTCAACAGCATGAAGGCCAGGTCCACGCCGTGACTGTCCGGAACGCGGGTAACGTCGGTGTACATGTTGATGAAAGCGACGCCCGCCTGGTTGGGGCTGAAGTGCGGACCGAGTAACCCACAGAGGGCGGGCGTAGCCAGGGTGGCCTGGAGAAGTTTGCCAGCTTCCTCAGGATTCTTCCCTATAAACTCCTGCAGAAAAAGTCAAACAGAAGGACAAAAAGAACTCTGCATCACCTGTAGTAATACAGATTTTCTTTTCATTGAAACAAGCTGATTATGATATCTAAAATTATGATTTGACCATTATTGATCAATACCTTGTCATCCAGTACCTCTGTCCTCACCCGATGGCTGTTAAAGTACAAAGCAGGATATCGAAGATGCAGAAAAACAACACTTTGCAGTTGCCCAAGGTCTTTAGGTACAAAAGGATTTCATTAATATACAAGTCAGTAAAAAGTCTGCACAGTAAGCTTAAGGCTCAGCACAGTAAGGCTCACCCCCAGAAAAAGGACAGACGTTCTGATAATACTTAGTAATACTTACATACATTGTACCGGTATTATAAAAAAAACATTGCAGATTAGGATTGAAGCCACCACCACCCTGACAATGGGTAGAACTGGGCCACACAAAACATTTCATTTACCACTGTTTGTTTAAACTGACAGAGAAAATCATTTTGGTTGTGTTCTATTTTTTTGTTTCATCATATTACAGAGACTTGGGGGTTGGGTTATGAAAGACGTTATTGAATAGTTATTTGAATTATTATGATGATAAAAGTGAGTTAAGCATGGAAAAGTTTAAAGCAAAATTTAATGTAATTTGTGTGGCCCTGTAAACAATTTTACATACTGAATCCATGATGAGCATTGCTCTGAGTAAAAACTCGGCCTGGGCTGGATTGTTCCTGATGAAAACCTGGCAGATCACAAAACAGTCAGCTCATCAGGTGTGTATTCATTATACAACACTAGGACTGTCAATTTTAAAACATTTACACAGGTGGTTTTATTTTCATAGTGTTCCTGGCTGTGTGTTGTTGTACTAGTGCTATTAATGACAGTAAGTTCCAGCACAAAGAAAACTTTATTTCCACCTCAATCAACAGCAAAATTAAATCATTGCAAAAATAAAATTTACTAAGTAAATTTAGAATGTGTCAAATGGGACTCCACAGATCACAAGGATATGTATTGTCACTGTATCCCTGAAGTTCCTAAACAAGATGCTTGGGGCCTAAACTTACGTGACATGCCACCTACCATCAAAAAAAAAAAACATGACGCTGGCAGATCACAAGATATCTAAACCGGCCATTCCACTGCAGTACCATAAAAAGGCACCAGAGGCCCCAAAATTTAATCATTTCGAGCTCTCACCAAGACCTCAGCTTACAAAATGTACCTACAGAAATGTACCAATATCAAAATAATCCATATAAGCCTCCCCGAGTTATCGTGTTGACACACAAATACACATGTGCACATGCACACACACACACACACACACACACACACACACACACACACACTACTGAAAATATATAACCTACTTGGCAAAGGTAATGACAGCCGGTACATACGAAAGTCCCTGTACTATTGTTGAGTCAATAAAGAATTCCATACAAAAGTCATGTATGACAGGCAAAACTGTGATGAACATTTTGAGACCAGTGTGTACATACACAGACCTGTCCTAGAGTTTCTATACAGCTGGAGAAGAACTGTCGTGTGGGTGGATACTGGCGGTTATCATCATCCACACAGCGCACCAGCTTATAGAACAGTGACGTCCCCGCTTCCCTGGTATCTGGTCTGGAACTCCCCTCCTGCTGCTGGGAGTAGGAATGGTTCACTAGATCTCTGCAGAGGAAACACAGCAGGAGATAATGGTACTAGTATGTGGTAAGTGATCAGTATGGCAATTCTATACATTTGTAGCTGCTACAGCTGTGGCTGATCAACCTTTAGGATGGCATATCAGAATATAATTGGTGTAATTTTAGCCATGGTATACATTTTGTACATGTACAATGTAGCCAGGGGAGTTGGTCTGCCAGAAAGTACAGTTTGGTGCGGCAAACTGTACTCTCCAGGCATATAACTCGCCTGGCTTGTTATCTCCGCCTCTATCTGGCCAATTTCTGCTCTTTCCATCCACCTCCTGAAGCCCAGTACAGGGTATACAATGTTGTTAAAAGTATGCTGCAGCATATGGTCACCAATGTCATTGCTGTACTCTGTACAGACAATATAATTAAAGCTTGTCAAAATATTGCTTCTGAGCACATTACCAAGTTCAAACTGAGTTGAACTTGAACTGAAGTAACATTTGCCTGTGCCTTCCCTGAATGTTCAAGTAAAACCTTTGAAGATAAAATGAAATCAGTACTAGTACAGACTGTTGGTAGATTATTCTGGACTGGCCTAGCAATGATACATTAATTATCTAATTTTAGTCTTTTACCATCCCAGACTTACGTGATGAGTCTCTCCACATACAGGGCACTAGCACAGAGCTGCTGTTGAGGGGGACTCATGGCACCATCTACCACCTGTTCAGCCTGGAGACGGTTCTCTCTCAGCTGGCTGTCCACAGCAGGGTCCAGAGTCTTCTCTTGGTACTGTCAGAACATCAGCATCATTACTGACAGCACTGTACTGTCTCGTACATACTCATTATGTTGTCTTTTGTCATACCTACCTATTATAGTAAGAAAACACGCCTTTTAATGCAAAAAGAATGAAAATTTTGTGTCCCTAAACCAAAATCTGCGACAACATCAATTCCAACGTCTGAATCATGTTTTTGAATTTTCAAAAGCAGCGCACGCAGTTTGGGCAAAACGCGTTTGAATTATTCTATGGAAGCCCGGGCCATACTTTTAGTCAGGAACACCGTCATTGAAGGTTATCATGGCCTGGGTACTGTACATGTATGATATATTACTGGACCTAGGTACATAATGCAAAATTCAGACCAACTCACAACAATGGGAACTGATTTTGATGAACATATCGTAGTAGTTTAAAATGCACCTGTCCATACATTAGAAAATCCTATCAAAGGTTATTGTCCAGATCCAACCTTACCAACCTGTAGTGTGATTTGAGCTGGTCCTTTGCAGTTAGGTGAATTCAAGGAGAAGGAGCTGTGACATGGAATCTGCAACGTCAACTGTAGAAACATGGTAGGATTTAGTAGAGGTTAATAACTGTACCAAAAACAATTATACAAGAGATAGGCAGGCTCTAGCTATAATCATATTAAATTGGGCACTGACAGGTATTAAATAAACATTTAGTGCTATTAATATGTACTTTGCACAGAAAGCACTTCTTATTCTTAATTTTCTTCATTATTCTTGATTTTCACCCCTTGATATGGAATATATGACAACATTACAAAACACAGTCTACATGTTGATAAAACTCTCACCTGAACATGCTTGTTGTGAAAGTGATCAGGAATAAGGTCCAGATATTTGTTGTCAAGTGTCAAGTGACGCTGCTCTCTCTCAGTGAACATCCTGTAATACATTATGTAGGTAACATGTATACAGGGGATATTGTCACCATTAGGACCAAAAGATACAAAAACTGGAAGTTCAGCTGCAGTACCATGGTCAGCCACCAGGAGGATCACAAATGACCTTGACCTTTGTCTTCCTATGATACATGTACATCCACACACCAAATATCATCACAATCCATAAAGGCCTTCTCAAATTATGCTGATCACAAATAAGCGGAGGTAATGATAATATGTACAAAAATCATGACACTGCAAAATTAATGTTCATTCCCATTGTAATACAGCATGAGAATTGCTTTAACCACAACCTTAAAATGCAGGTGATGAGTGAAACTTACCCCTTCTATTGCAAAATACCCAATAGACAGTATTCAAGTGCTTATGGATAGACCCTGGACTGGGTCCCTACTGACATAATTGTTTATTTGGTCAAAAGACATTAACAATGATAGCTACTGAAGGGCCGAAATGTTATTAGGACAGTACATTCAATTTTATACATTGGTCCACAGAATCTCACCTTGCCTGATGCAGCAGGTGCTGCAGATGTGGTTCTACAGTGACCATTAGCAAGGCGGTGTCCTCCAGCACCTGCGCTGGGACATCTGGAACAGGTGGCTCCTGCTCAGCTGCATGAGGAGGGGGCTGGGTCAGGTCAGAAGCCATCAGGTGCCGCTCCAAGGGAGATGTGGCTAAATAGATGAGAGAACAGATATACAAGACTGTATGTGATTACAATTTTGGTGATGAGTAGGGTAAGCCTATATAAGGCCTAGGAAAAAAATGTTGGCCGTGTTCCCTGTTTCCTGACCAACCCTAGAAAAAACTGCCGACCCTAGCCTTTTTTGTGTGGACCCCTGCAAGGGTGATCATTTTTTTAGCTCATCGACCATTTCTAGCTCTATGATCTGACACCCGAGTGATGAAACATTGTACAATCTGTTTTTCAACATTGACATTGAAAATGTCCTCATGTAAGTTTTATTTTTTCAAATTGTTAAACTTATTGTGTGTATAGGTTGGATCAATAGAGATCGCCAAAGTCTAAAATAAATAAAGAAAAAACAGATAATCCCTACCTACTGACCCTAACTTTTCGGGACCGAAACAGGAAAGACAACATTTTTTTTTGAACTTCCAAGGAATTGTGCAGAAATTTCTGTAACAGAACGGGTCAAAAGTCTGACAACTTTCCTACCCTCTATCACTGGCCCATTTCATGTTCTTACTCTGAAAAGGTGATCAAATAGGTCTAGAGGGTGATGAACTGTCCTCGGCAATGCGAGACAGGAACTGGTGGATACACTTCATGGCGTCACCTAAAACTTCTGAAGATCAACAGTTTCTGAACTGATTCACCATTGGGAGATGACATGTGGTGCGTACCTGGCTGGGAGAAGTCAGGAGATGATCTGGAAGTGACGGCAGTCTTGACCTGTCGGTGCTGAACCCACTCTGTAGCCATCACAGCGACGTCTCTCTCAACTTTCTCCATGTCTACAAACTCCAGCCAGGCGTCCTGGCCATAGCACAAGTATATCTGTTCAGTAACTGTCAAAACGGCGCTCATGTTGCCAGCAGCCCATACACAAAGCCACAAAAACTCTTTCCCACACCAGGCCATACACTAGTATAACAGGTCTATCCACAAAGACTGTTCTATGACATTCTTGTATATTTTAGCGCCCATAGTGAAGCATTTCGTATAGCTTTGCTTGTGTTGTAATGTTGATTTTTTTCCCACATAATGACTGTACAAATTAGTGTAATTCAGCTTGCTGTACATGTACCTCATGCTGCAAGGCTGATTTTTTAAATGAAACTGTAAAATCACCACAAAGTCATAGCATATAGACCAGGCCTTTTCCATCACAGTCACCATTGCATGCTGGGAGACTTAGGTCCCTATGGATTCTTGTTAAGCATTGTCATTGTAATGGTGTTTTTTCTTCCTGTTACCCATAATGCCTCACACCTCCCAGCATGCAATGGGATTTGTAAAATGGTCTATCTAGCACAAGCAGGTACAGTATTGCACAGCAAAATATCATTGATTATAATTAATAAGTAAATGTCATCATCTTCCCGATACCCAGGCAAATGGGGGGTGAGGTAGAAAACAACAGTAAATATTTAACTATAATTGTATTACTATTAGGAACAGTTTACCAGTTTACCAGGCTATAGTCTAGGGGAATGTAGAAGAAAGTTAACTTTATCATCTGCAAATCTAAAGAAAGTCTAGGCAAAAAGATACTGAAAAAAGTATTAAAAAATCTACAGTTTCCAGTGGTTGTCTTTCTATTGAGGGTTATAGTAACTGTTATTATATAATAATAAATGGGAATAACTGAATAACTTGTTTCTGAATCAACTTTTAGATGCCTTGAAGCTCCTTGAAGATTTACCTGACAGTTCTTGAACAGACTGAGAAGCCGCTCAGCATCATACTGCTGAGGCAGGGCCGGCAGGTACAGGTCAGGGTCATGCAGTCTGGGCTCCTCAATCCACAGGTAGAACGAGTGGAACAGCCTAGAAACAAGACTGGGTTAGACATCTTACACCTCCTTCATTATTTTGAGTGAAGTATATCTCCTCCCAACTCATGATGTTTGAATGTAGAAGAGATAATTTTGTGAGCCGGTTTACATTTTCTATCTTTCTCTCCCTGCCATTTTTCAACCCAGTCAAATTTAACCCTGTCAAAAAACAGCACTATTTTTTTTGTCTGCTACATTTTGTACTCAGATATTATCATAATTATGATAAATTTATTCCAAAGCTGGTTCTTCATGATCAGCCTTTTTTAAAATGAATGACATAAATTTATGACCAGACATACAATGTAAATGCTTTTACTTTACAGTATTTACAAACAAAAACTATTTGAATCATATTAAAAGTATAAGTCTAGAGTAAAACGTTTTTCCAACATAAGGGATTGTTCTCCCCATCACCCTTCGCTCAACTGTGACAGGGTCTGCTATCATTTACTGGATACCTTTGACCAAGTGTTGACGTCACACTTCAAAGAAGCCACATGACAAGTCTCACTGGGTCAGTCAATTGAAGAAGATCAGAGTGACTGGTCAAATACTCAAAGTATGATTTAAGTAGTACTTTTAAGTACTAAGTTAAATCATACTTAAAAGTTCATTTATGTTGGTAGTAACATTATTTAAAGTTAAAACCAACATAAATGAACTTTTAAGTATGATTTAACTTTATAAGTAGTACTTAAAAGTACTTAAATCCTACTTACTTGGACAGATTATGATGCAACCCTGCAGAGTCAGAGCTTGGCACCAGTGGTTCCTCTGACTGATCCTCTGAAAGACAAAATGCACGTTAAGTTAGACAGAGCATACTTCATAGATTCTACCTTACAGGTAAGTCAAACATATTACAATGATCCACGTTAGGTGTTTACTCTCTAAGTGTATGGATCTGCTCTTACTACTTCAATGTCTTTTTTTTTCCAATATCAGTAAGACTATGATCATACTGTCAGTGATAATTTTCCCTCACTTCACTGATTTTAATATACTGACACAAACAGGGCAAGTGGATGTCAGGTGTTTGACAAATGAATAACTGCCTACAAATGATATAAAAACGTAAGACACATCAGTTCTCTGTGTACTATGATGAAGGTTTAAGCCCCTGTAACACATTCTCGGCCTTCCCCCGAATCTGTTCCCGATCACTAGCTGACCAGAAGTTCAGGAGAACTCTGACCAGATTTAGGCCACCTTTCTATGCAAATCAAAACAAATTTGTGTTAACTTGGACTCAAATATGACTCCTCAACACGCCATGAACACTGCTGACTTACTGGGATGGTTGGCTGGTGTTTTGCTGACTTACGGTCAAAAACCAGACAACAATGATGGAACCACCTGGATGACTCACGAATGTTTTAAACATTTTGAAACATTCCGCTGAACCGTAGCTAAATTTGGGGGAATGCCAGCCGGTTTCAGCGGGCATTTGGCTAGCGTTTGGGAGGCCAAATTCATGAATGTGTGACAGGGGTTTATGTACAACTCTCACCTACCTGGAGCAGTGTCTGAGGATACATCTAGCGTCATTGCTGGTGTCTTGGAGGCAGCGTAGTGGAAGTCTGCCGCCTCCTGAAGACGCTTCTTCAACTTTTTCAGCAGGGAAGACTGGGAGTGAGCCTGGAAGAAACGATGGCCCACACCTCCTCTTCCTGCCATTCTGGGAGGACAGTAAGGATGACAGTAAATGGCTTGGGCATGTCTGATGTATGCCAGAAGAGAGATTACTGTACAGTGAACATGTGGCACATAAGCATGTGGTCGTCCCCACATACACTTTAGGCTCGTTCTCATTCAAATAATGCTGTCGCTACTCTTTACGACTAGATATGAGCCAAATCACAGACCTCATCATTGCTTTCTTCACTTCCCCACTATGGTCACTGTAACTTTGGCTCAAGTAAAAGGAATCATTGTGAATAAAAGAACTTTTAATTTAATATTCAATTATTTAGTATTCGTGTATTTGTGTACGACAGCTAATGGACTGAATAAAGTATCCAAGTATCCAAATATTTAGTACCAACTTGATGAAAGTAATTTTACGGAAATAAGTACATTGCCTAGAAGCTGTGGTATTCCTGGTCCCATGAGACAGAGGAATGCCTAGTACATGTACAGGGCTCGAAATTCATTTTTGGGAATAGGTGCAGTATAGTGCACCCAACCTAAAAATTTAGGTGCACAGACAATTTTTTGGCTGCACAATATAAAACAAAACCTAATTACAGATCTTACTGCTCCTCTTTTGAGCTTGAATCTTAAATGGGAGCTAACTTCAAAATCTTAAACAAGTACCAGAACAAAGATTTTCTGACACTTAGATGCCAAGAATATCCAGTATTACTGTATACATTTGATATGTACAAAGATACCTACAACAATATTTAGGTGCACCAGTGCACCTACAGAAAAAAATTGGGTGCACAGCTGCAATTTTGGGTGCACTAAGGTGCACATGCACCCAGTATTTCGAGCCCTGGTGTACTTCTACTGTTCTGAGCTGTTCCAATAGCAAAACAAACTTGGCCAAACAGAACCTACCCCTGGTCTGCAGCGGGTCGGTGCAGGTAGATCTGGAAGAATCGTTGCCAGACCAGAGGCAGGAGCGGGTGGTCCAGGGGCGTGGCCAGGGCCTGCCCCGCCCAGCGATAGATCATGAGGCGGGGCAGGGGCGGGGCAGACGGGAGGTGGACCTCACTGCTCACAGTCTAGTGAAAAAAAAACACGACTGTTGTGTTAAACTGACTGAATAGTACCAAAACAGTGACAGTGAAACACTATGTTTGTATAGCTCTACTATAGGTACATGTACTACATGTACAGTATATACCTCCTCTGGCAGCAAATTTAAATCACATTTAATTTTACGCTGTACCTGAAACTTTTATGGTTAACGTGGTTGTTTACAAGTGGGTGAGATATAGACAATAGAAGAAAATGAATAAATTATAATAATAAAATAATGATGTTGTTGCCTACTTTGACGGCTCCTTCCACAGTGATGTTGCTGTCCTGTTGTAAGGCGCTTTCCAGCATCTTCCTGAGCTGTGTGTCCTCCTCCCACATGCTCTCTGCCTGTAACACCTGGTACGCCACCCACACATCTGATAACAACAGCAGAAAGAAAAATGTCCAGACTAGGCATGATGTACATGATGACTAATAAACTGGTGCATGAAGTACCAACCACTAAGTATCTAATACCGTCCCACAAAAGAACAAGAAAAACACTGTCATGCCTTCAAATATCAGAGTTATCAACTAAGAATTGAGGTGTTCAAAAATTTTGTACATTATTTATTTTTTTTGTATTGTCCAAGAACTACATGTACATGTATCATAGAGTGGTACTTGCTGCCACCAAGTACAGTAGGGACATCATCACTAGAAAGCTTGAAACAACTGAACTGAGTGCCACTGGTTATTCTTGACTTTACCCCCGGGAATTAAGTATTATTATAACAATGAACAAAGAATGACAACATTTCTGTCACACTAGGCTAAGCACAGGTCACAACAACAATAACAAATTTTCTACCATACCTGACTGTGTAGGCTTGTCCAGAAATGTGGGTGGACCAACACTGGACGACATCCAGGACACCAAAGACACCAACACACCTGGGTCTGTCTTGGTACTGAGGAGAGCCTGGAGATACCAAACAGTCTGTCACTTTCTAAGTCTGTAACTGCCATGACTAAAACTTCCACACAGGTTCAATTTGTCTTGGTATTGGCAACAAGAATACTCAGAAGAAGACCTGTCATCATGTTATTTAGACTGCACCAGAAATGGACCAGCTTTGTGGACAGACTGAGACAGAGAAATTCAAAATAAGGTCACATCAATGTGATTTGTTGGTTCTAGGATTTTTTTTTCAGAAAAAAATGTAGGAACAGACTTAGGCATCCTCTGATAGCCTCAAAAGCTATTACATGTATATGTCTTGAGGTCAACATACCAGGTTCGTTTGTAATTCAAGCAATGACTTTTAACATTTTTTTTCCAACCAATGTATAACTATTGATAGATGGATAAACCGCATCAACTACGAAAGCAAGAAGCTTTCTTCAACCTTTTGGACCAAAATATGAACATTTGAAGTAGTTGATTCAGAGAACCATCCTTTTTTTTGCAAATCAGAAAAAAGGAATCTGAGAACCAACTAATCAAATTGTTGTGGCCTAATGAATAAAAGATATTAAGAATCTCATAAAAATAAATATGTCAATGAGGTAGGAGATCTCTGATTTTTTTTCCCTGGACCGACCTTATAGCGATCATACAGGATACTGATGGTCATGTCCTCGCCTCCCTTGCACCTGAAGGCCGTCTGCAGGAGGGAGTCCAGCACCTGGAGCACCTGCGGGCTGTACCACCACTGTGGGAGGGAGGTCAGCATGCGCACCCACAGCTCCAGCACTGTTGTACTGGACACACGGGCGGACACAAACCCACTCTGCACCTGGAACTGCCAACAGATGCAGAATGATGCAAATCAGTACAGCTGTAATAAATTCACACGTTAAAAGTTTTTTACAGGTGCCTTTTACTAATGATGCTATACAATGTTAGAATTTAATATTACCTAATAAATATGTTTTGTGGTATACATTCCGTATAATATCGTAAGAAAAACAGTACTACGGGGGTTAATGTGAGTTGTACTAGTAAGCTTGACTTGTATCTATGAAATTATAGGACACTCTTGTGCAAAAAAGAAGACAGTAGAATAATTTTGTCGATGTCAGTGTAACACAATCCTCAAACTGGTCACTGCCAAAACAAATGTTATTGATGAACATCAAATTGATTGTCCAGAAATTGAATGTTTCAAAAAAAGACACTAACCTGTATCATACTACACAACAGCTTGCAGTGAGGTCCCATGTTGGAAGAAGTCAGACTATGGTCTGATTGGATCACCTTCTCCACTATCTTCAAGAATCTATAATTAGATGGAAAAGAAGAAAGTTTACTACTACATTTGATTAAGTGGCAGGAGGAGGAGGAGAAACATAAGAGAAAACAATATATTTCATCCATACCAATGGTATGGACTGAAATATAACAAGAAGCCATAGGCGACAATTCTCCGTGAAGTATTATATATTGCAACAAAAAGAAGTAGCCATTAGCTACAATTCTCTGTGAAGAAAATAAATCGAACAAAGAAAAATTGTTTAAACGCGCGTCGGCTCAGTCATCTTAAGTCGCAACAACCAATCAGAGATGCGAAATGCCGACACGTGACGCGGGATTTGGGGAAGGGCGCGCGATGCCCGAAATATTTTTGCGTCAATATTCAGCGCCGTGTTTCAAGAGATTAATACCGAGAAACAAATTCTTTTCTTGTTTTTAACGCATAAACATGCATTTACGCTAATCTAGTATGATTCAGGGTTACTTTTTTTTTACCTGCCATGGCCAGATTATGTAAAGATGTGTGTATTGTGTGTACAATCTACAGAAAGAGAAATGTACATCAGGTCCGATCATCCGATTTTCACGTTTCGGTTTTTTGGACTCGGTTCATGAACGTATTTTGGTTTGGCTCCTGGAATGTGCGAAAAAAATGACTCCCGGGACTGTCTACAGGGAACACTCGCACATTCGCGGTGTATCAGGACAGCGCGACTGGTCGGCATTAGCGCAGTCCCTGCAATTAGTAACAGTTGCACATCAATCCGGCCGAAAGCATGATTGTGTAACACAGGCTACTTCTTCATATACCGGCTCATACTACACGACGCCTTTACAACTAGCAAATCATAAAATTACCCGATCTACTAGTACTGTATGTGCGGTTTACCAGCCCCAGACCACATCTGACCACGAGGCAGAACACATTGATGGGTTGCTCAAAAATATTGTCCATGTTTACAAAGAGCTGCTCCACTAACACTATGGAGCGGCCCAACCCAAAAATATTGGCCATGTATCGTTGCTAGGACGACCTGCCAGTTGCTACGTGACTAAATACACGCCGCCACTAGGTCGCCACACCCGACCAGTTTGAAATCGATAGGATTACGTTATCGGTATTAACATTTCCTAATGTTGACCATCAGCCCCGCCGCGACTTACTACCGGTGACATAAACGGACGACAACATTTCAACGGCATGGGGATGTTTCGAAAATAACCATTTACTCCAATATCAAAACAGCTACGGTAAAAATAAAAAGACGTGCATCATCCCGGACATAATGCAACACCACATGCGAAATTACACAGAAATGCGACGTACGGAAGAATGCGTTTTGGCTGCGAACATCTTCCAAAAAACTTGGCATCTCTTAACCATGGGCAAAAACATCTGGAACCACTTATCAAAACCACCCCGTATCTGCATGAACTTTTACCCCCCCCACTGCTATTCCAAACAACGCGTTTTTCTGGACCATTCCAATTCGCCTCGTAATTGTAGGGGTGCGTCTGCGATATTACATTGACCGCGAAAGCAGCAATGGCAAAAATACACATTCGTGCATCAACACGGGCATGCCCGCAGACGGCGTATAAAATTGCGTGCCGATTACACAAAGAGAACCCAGTGTTTTGACTGCGAACATGAAAAATCAGCCGATCACAACACTCCGTCCGGAGGTCCTGACCTCCTTCACGGAGTAATAATTGAGTTCAGGCTTGAATGCTTGTACAAGTTTTTCTGCATTTGCAACAATGCAACACAATGTGGAGCACCATGTATACAGTACATACCTTTTATCCTGTAGGATGTTGTGTTGAGATGTGAGAAACAGTGGGGTGATCTTGGCCAGTATGTGGATAGTGGGCACAATGTGTCCTCCTTCTACCAACTGGAGTAGAAGTGGTAGTCCTGACGATAAGAACTCAGTTTTGCTGAAAGTGATCAAAAACACTCTTAACCACACACTGTACATAAAAAACGCTATGGAAAACATATTACCTTCTTGGTGAAGGTAACAATATACGGATGAATGTATTTTACACCCTATGTCAGGTGTAAAATAATACAACCATTGGCATTTAAAACGGTAAAATCCATCATTTACAGTGTATGTAGTTAAAACTTAACTTTAGTCTATTGACATACCATAATATACACAATAATCTAGGTCACGGTAAACTTCTGCTGTATATGGGTCTTTCAAAATGACAAAGCTTATATTAACATTTATGCATATTAATTACTTTAAAATGACCAAAAAGTGTTTGATGTGTGGGCCCCTGCACAATACAAGTATGGTCCGAAGAAAAATCCCAGAACAAGAAGAGCTTGCTCACATCCCTTTCTCATTTACAAAACTGTTAGTAATATATTTGACATACATGTAGTTCAAACATTTATCCACTGTATGGGTAGATTCTCGTAATTGATAGATCACCAACTTGTCTTCAATTTGTTTACATTCATTTTTCTTTTATCCACTTTGTATTCATTTTGTCATTGTGATAAACTCTTATTTTATTAACCTCATGTTCACCAGTAATGACCATACAAATTACAATAGAAAAACTACGTGAATTTATCTCCAATTGCTTTAAAAAGAGAGAAGAAATCTTCAAGACCTAGATTAGTTTATTCTCTAGTAGTTGTTAAGACTTTTACGTTATTCTGTTATCCTTGTATCCTATGTATATGTACCATGTTACTCAGTATGATGTACATGTAACATCACACTCTGATGTATGCATTTAACCCTAAGAACATGAACATGCAATTAAAGATTAATTAAAGATGTATACTTAAGTCCTCAAATAGTAGACATATAAAATTAATGTTTTAGCAATCATGCTTTTTGCCTGATACTTGTTACATAAATATATGTGATAAAGAAGAGCTTACTCATGGCCCACAGATGTCATGGCTAGTGCAGTGTACAGAGCAATGGGCATATCAGACTTGACAGCTCTCTGTAGATGCTGCAGGGAGGAGTCGTCTGTCAGGTTGGGGATGTCCTGACTGATAGCTTGTGTGCTGTTCCCTGCTGACAGCGCCGGCTGTGGCTGTTCCGTGGCGTGGAGACGCAGCTGCAGGGCCACCTCCCACAGCCAGGTGGACAGCTGCTGGTCAGGCCCGACTGTCAACCGCGCAGCCGCAGCCAGCTGCGTCACCTGCAAACATAGAAGGAAATTCAGTTAATTATTACCTTTAGCAATAAGATTACTGTTACAGTAGTCTATGTTTTTCGTGGCGTTTGTGTGTTTGTGTGTGTGTTTGTGTCTGTAAACAAGATAACTTGAGAAAGCTTAGATGGATTGATATTTGGCAGGTGGGTAGGTATTGATAAGTCCTCAAAATTATTAGATTTTGGGCTCCCTAGCGGCTTGTTATGGTAGTGCAGTGAAACATCTAATATATACATATATATAATATATATATGTATATATTAGATGTTTCACTGCACTTGTCTGGGCATCAGTTATCATATATTATATGATAACTGATGCCCAGACAAGGAGTTCTTCCCTAAACCAGACAGACTCATATCTGCTCCAGGGACTTTTGGCATCTAAAGGCCATAAAAATTATATAATATTATCAATATAATAATAATAATAATATGCAGAAGGATGGAAAGGTGCAGGAATACAGAACTCTTCTAGTCGTGATATGTCATGTACTACAGTTTCTGACCTGTTTGATGCCTGCTGCTATCAGTCCTGCCTGTTCCTTGTTGTACATGAAGTGGTTGGACACCTGTACCAGGAGTAGACCCATCCATCTGTGCAGCTTCAGGGGGAGGAACAGTCTGTCTCCCTGGAAAAATACAATCAGTAACAAGATTGTTTTTATTGTTAACTTCATGAAAATCAGAGGTATTGTTTTTGGTATGTCTGTGTGTGTCCGTGTGTGTGCCTGTGTTTCTGCATGGCCTTTAGGTCAGGTTGTAATGGATATGCACGGCAGTATGGTCAGTCTGTCTCAGATGAAGAAAGTCATTAATCACCTCTACATCTTGCATCGCATGTGAACAACGAGGTTAAAAAAAGAGGAATTGGGAATTACTTGCAACGCATAACATGTACCATCAATACGAGAGTTTCACGGATGCTTGTGACTCTCTTCCATAGCCCTGGGCAGGTCTTCCGATCTGCAGCCCGCATCCTCACACAGTTGGTGTATGTAGGTTGTGCAGGGTCTGCCTACACTAGCATGCCCGTGTTTAGGTGCCCAGAGAAGGACGTCACTAACAATCTCTTCCTTACTCCTCCAAGAATGCCCAGCAAAACGGAGTCTCCTCTCACTTGTTAGATAAGTCAAACTCTTAATCTTATGTGAAATGGTACTCCCCAAGGTTTAACTACCCACTTACACACACGCACACACACATGCAAGCACGCATGCACACACACACACTCTCAAACACACAGACACAAACCACTCCACACATGTAAAGACTTACACATTACTGTACCTGTGCATTAGTCCCCCAGTTGAGCCTGGCAGCTATGAGTCTTGCCAGCCTGTGTTCTGGTGACTGGAGTTCAGTCTGCAGTAACCACTTCTCCAGCAGGACCATGTCAGGAGCCTGGGGCAGCCACAGGTGCAGCGGCAAGTCTTTGTACAGATACAGGGACATCTGGAAGAGACGAATGCATGTATTATATACAGTGAATCTAAATGGTGCTATGGCCTATAGCTAGTAGATAGAGTGTTTGCATGCCAGTTGCATTCAAATGGTTGAATACTGCTTTCTCCATTCGTGTAAGAGGAAAGACTAGCACCTAATTGTATTCATTTTACGTATGTGGCCAAAGTGAACCAAGCATGTTCTCATAACACTATTAAGATATTCCAACTAATGAACAATCAGTCAGTCAGTCAGTCAGTCAGTCAGTCAGTCAGTCAGTCAATCAATCACGACAATCAAACTTAACCTAATCATTGTTACAGTATTGGGTACAATGCATGCCATTGGTAAGTTAAAATTATTCAAGACTAAGAAACCAAATGGACAAATTCTCTATTGCATATCTTAAAGCAAATGATTATAAGCAGAATTACACAGAAAACACAGTACAGATAAATAATTGCACTGACCAGACCAACTTGGTCCATGGTGCTGCCCACTCTCTCCATCAGAGTGGACGCTGCCGTGGGATGGACCAAACATATGGAGGACAGTAGCTCACGACCAACCTTCGAGCAGAACTCACGCGTTCTGGTGCTCACATAGCACAGCTTTAAAATTATAAAATTTAATGTAACTATATGATTGTGACTTAAGCATTAGCAAAGTGTGTTAAGTTACTTGCAAAAACAATGAAAATCAGAGATTGTAGACTTCACCCCTCATACCTATACTGCTTTGTGACCATTTTAGTCGCACAGAGAAAAACATTGACAATTTACATGTAACAGTTGGAGATGTATATTTGGCAATGTTGTATTGTGTATATAATTGATAATCACAGAGAAATACATGTATGCACAGGCATACACACACTGAGACAGACACATAATGTCACAGAGACAGACAAGGAAAAAAATACGGTATTTCACTCCCTTCGCCCAAAGTAGAGATCAGGTGTACCTCATTAACACACAAATTGATGAAACCACCTGCTCTGAAACCTAATCATGAGATCAATATTGGATGACATATATGACACAAGTTTAAAAATCTCTGTCGTGTTTCAAACTTAGGCTCAAGACATGTTATTATGTTTCAGTATAGTAGTTTAGACAAGATTGTTGTACCTTATAAAGGTGTGTGACTACGATGTCTACAAATGCGTTGTCTGCCCCGGTATGGCTGCGTGCCATGTTTGTACAGGCTGTCAGCAGGAAGATGGCCTCTGACTGCTCCAGCTCACAAAGCTTGTCCTCCATCTGAACCATCATGTCACTCTCTAGTCAGACAAACACAACAGGAAACTAGAAAGGTAACATTTGCAAAGCAAATGCATAATGTTTACCTTCCCATGGTCTGCTCTGTTAATTCTTACTCGCAAACACATTTCATATATCATATGGTCAGACAGGAGTCTAAATCCCTCCTGCTATAAAATTGCAACATGACGTAACCCAACACTAGTTACCATGGTGACAGATGTCTGATTCAGGTCTTTGACCTTATTGTTTAGGAGGAGAAGAAGACGAAACAGAGCAAAAACAATATGTTTTCCTTCCGTAGTATGCAGTAAACTAGTTTTTTTTGAGTTACTTAATTCTGTGTATTAAGTCAAGTGCTTATAAATATAAACAAGCTTTTGAAATAACCTGAAGCCTACATGTAACCAAAACGGAACAATTGACATCAGCAACGGGTCAAAGGTACCCAGCAGTCAGTGTCGGCCCCTGTCTCGGTTGAGGGATGGGAATCCTATCTAGTGTCGAGTAATTCCTCCCACCTTGTAACAATGCCTTGATCTGTGTGATGGTGGCAGCCTCCTCAGGTGGGTTGTCCTGTATTCTGTCCACGTGTAACAGCCACAGCAGCTGCCACTGCATGGTGTGGGACAGCTGCTGGTACGGTAGGTCAGACAGGAACTGTAACGCTCCCACCCTAGGCACATAGAACAGTAACAACAACATGGAAAGGTGACGTAAAAAATATTTGTTGAATACTCAGAAAATCAGAGAAGACAGATTTCACCACTGGTCCAGTTAAAGGCACCCAAAGCGATTTCAGGGCAGCAAAACTGAATTTTCAAAGTCAACTTTCTGGTCATTCTTTTAATGTAGTTGAATCAACCCTATCCCATGGCATACAATTCTTCCAGCAACCCATATATTGTGTTAAGGATTAGTTCAAATTTTAATTACTTCCAGAGACTTTTTCATAATTACCATAATTAAAAAAATGTCCTCTTTTCAAGAATAGGCAGTCCTCCATGCTACACACTCACATACGAACACACATACACGAGCATACACACACAAACACGAATACAATCGTGTAGATAAGCCAAAAATGATACTTCACCTCCTTGGGCTGAACTGATAGTCTTACCTGGGTGCAGATAGGATGCACACTACGGAGCGATAGAAGAAGTGATCATACTCCAGCTGAAGTTTCCCTACTGGCAGCTGTGCGTCTCCTTGTGCATGCTCCAATCTCCCCTTACACAGCCTCCACACCTCCGACACATGCTGGATCGTGTGCCTGAAGGACATGAACTGCTTTAGCAAAAATCATGGGTGCCAAAATGGGTAGTACACATGTATATACATGTCTGTGTACATTTTCTACCTCTATTTAATTATCATAATAACAGTTACTATGATCTACAACATGTAATTCTTACATTCATGTATGTTATATATTAACCAGAAAGGTAACATTTGCAATGAAAACGCATAATGTTAACCTTCACATATGCTTGTGCCTAGTGTTCTCTTACCGGACCAAATATCTCCAAATCTCTCATATCTGCCAACCACAATTCAGGTAATCACTCACATATCAGCCAATCACAATTCAGCTAATCACTCATATCAGCCAATCACAGTTCAGCTAATATAAAGGAAGGAGGATGAAACCTCTCACCTAACAAGCCTTCCGAGCCGTTTGACAAACTGTCTGTAGCGACTTCTGTTGAAGTTTCTCAGCCCTTCACTGAGCAGCTTGACAAGTGTGGAACACAGGGCAAATATCCACAGCATGTGCCGTTCTGTAACATCACTCACCACAAGGTCTGTATCTGAGGGAAAAGCCATTGTTCAAATCAGTGTTGTTGGCAACGACTGTCTTTCTCTGAATTTTCCAGCTCATGACAGACAAAGCTTTTGGCCCATCTGTCACAGACGGACAAAATCAGCATGATTGTTAAAGATTTTGAAAGAGAATTATACTAAGCTTACTATGTCTACTAGCAAACTTTGCCCCTCAAAATGCAGGAAATAGTGTTTTAGAGGGTCAAAGTTTTAAACTTTTCAGTGCTTGCATGCTTGATAATAATTGACATCAATCCAAGTTGAGATGATGGAAAAACTTTTAGGCTGGCTAGAAGACTGGTACAAATTTCATCAATGGACAACACAATTTTTCAAGCCCTTTCATCCATAGACTGAGACAGTCTCATTGAACAGTGGAACTGTTTAACAAGGTTAATAAATGCCTACCATTGGATTGGTTAAAAAAATAGATACCAATAGTACAAATACCTGAAAGATGTACATTCATGACATAACAGAAGAATCTGTTGAAGGGAAACTGTTGTAGCAGCAGGACAAGGTCATTTTCATGGAGAAGTGACCAGGTGTCAGTAGAGTCATCTTCCTACAAACAATCAAAATAACAAAAAGAAACATCACACTTTAATGTAGTATGGTGGTATAGTAGATTTTATCTAGCTAACATCAATTGTCATGACTTTATTATCCTAGGACTGCCACATTTGAATGAATGAATAAATAAATAAATTAATTAATAAATTAATTAATCAATTAATGAATGAATGTATGGTTTATTTCTGTAAAATACTGCAGCCATCTGGCTAAAGTACCTTTCACTTAGTACATAAATTAAAATACACAAAACTCAATACTATTACTAGTCAAGTCAAAGTTTATTGCACAACAATTGTAGCAGGTACAATGTACATGTATGGCAGAATGAGATTAATAAGATTACTAGCTGGTATGAGTCTATCAAAATTCTACAGAATAGGTTCAACGGGTGCTACTTGTATGTCTGGCAATGTTGATTACAACTACTGACTAAGAGTTACTACTTGCTAATTTACACTATATTATTATAGAGAGTACAATGTGCAGTTGTATATTTCACAGAGTATTGACTAAATCACCATTTGTGGTCAGTCATGAAGATTCACAAGGCCATGAAAATAAAAAATAAGCAGTTTAGTGCTCACCTCCTCTCCACCTTCATCTACTAAAGTCCAGTTGAGCGGGGCGTCGGCTTGTTCTTGTGTCTGTCCTGCTACTTGCACTGGTTTCAGCAGCTTGAGAAGTTCCAGTCTATTTCTGCAGTTCAAAATCTCGTCATTAGGGGGAGCAGCACTACAAATGTATTTGGGGTTCCAGTTTATATTATAACATAACTATAAAAGTTCTGCATTCTCACAACTAGTACTTCCAAACACTGACAAGTTAACAACAGAAATTAACCAGTTAGACTCGGTGCAGTACAGGTGTGCCATAACACCCGGGTACCCATTTTTAGCCAAGCAAACCAGGTCAGCCCACTCCTACAATGCTTTACACAGATTCTGACGGCATTTACATGTAATATGCAAAATTTGCCGACTTTGCTGTAAATAATGTGAAATCAGATACATGTAGCTTTTCCTCCAAATTACAGGAAATTAGAAAGGCTTGCCATATGCATCTAGGCCACCAAACATAGGAATGGTGCAAAAGCTAGACTTCCCTTACAAGGATGAATTCATCCGTATGTTTAGCTGTACAAGATGGGACTTGAACTGTCGCCCTTCCAGGTCCAAGTAAAAAGTACTGTAAATCATGATTTTTTTTCGTGGTACTTTTATCAGTTTTCGCAGTCAATTCTATACCGCAAACTTATAATTACCGTGAACAAATAATTTTTTACTTTTTGCTGCACCCACCGTCAGAATATTATATTATAGTTCTGCGAACATGTTCATTTTTTTCAGACCACAAACTTTTGCTACCGCGAACATAAATTGATTTACAGTATACCGTATGGGGTTGAAGAGTGTGGCCAGCATGACGAGAAACTGGTGTACTTGAGCGGACGCCACGTCGGCGCTGTCATCAGGTGAGGGACAAGGCACTTGTATGAGTGCAGCGGCCCAGGAGCCGACACCAGACGGACAGCGCAGCACATGGTTCAGCAGGAACAGCCGGTCGTGGAAGGTCGCTGTCCTCATCAGGAGACAACAACTCTGCCAGGAAGTAACCATGGAGTAAACAACAATAACAACAGTTTTGCCTTGTCCAGGCTTAGTGGATGGAAGGTGACTTTACAACATTGTCAGGAAATAACAATCATTATGGAGAAACTCTCCTGTTTCAACAACAATAAAAACTATTTTGCCTCTGTCAGGCTTAGTGGAGGGCCTGCATGTAGGAATACCTACACAAACACATTCAGAAAGTCAATTATACAAAATGTGCTCAAAAAATAAAAAATCATTTAAAAAATAGAAACAAAAACATAATAATAGATGAAAAAGGTGCACAGCTCCAATTTTGGGGACACAAAAGTTCTGCACCCAGTATTTTGAACCCTATAGAAACTATAATCTGCTATCTACTATACTTGAAAATGAACTTATTTGGAAACTTCTGGTATTGTAATTGGGAAAAAAGATTCATGTACAACTTGATCAGCTACATGTAATTGAGAATCTAAACAAATATCCAAGAATCTAAATAAAAATACTGGTATAGAAAAAGGTAATATTATGAAACAGGTGAACATACCAGTTTTTCTATCCAGTTCTGAATATCCTCCAGAAATTGCTGGTCCCTGATTGGTCTACGCTGGAATGTGAACAGCACACTGATGCAGCTGCGAACTCTCTCTCGCTGAGCTGTCATGTTGGGGTCAACTACAAAATATGAAGAAGACAAGATTTCCACCATACCATCACCAAATGTTGTTAACCTATACAACTGATGTATTTTAAACGTTTCTCAATGATTATGCAATATGATACTCATTTGCATGAACAGCATATCCTCTTCTCAAAGACAGTCAAATCTTAAGCTCTCAGACCACTGTTTGATAAAATACGTAGAATGTCAAAAAACAAATTATGATTCATTTGTAAAAAAAAAGGATGATGACAAAATAATGATTTTATAGTTGGATATTAAGAATATGCTGTATACATGTATAACTACAAATGTATGTAATATCTTTACATAGTTACATAAACCTATGAAATTATTTGGGTGCACTGATGCACCCACAGAAAAGAATTAGGTGCACAGCTCCAAATTTGGTGCACTAAGGTGTACATGCTCCCAGCATTTCAAGCCCTGCATTCGTAAAATCTAAAGTCAACTACCAAGTTGCTGCTCCCTCACAATATGGGTTTGAAGATTACAGATGAGATAACGATATGATTATGTTACTCACAGGTGTCTGAGTCAGTCTGGCAGGTGCTCAGCACCTGGTGCAGGTATGTCTCCACCTGCAGCCGACAGAGGATGGCGGAGTAGCCGGCCAGGGCGTACGTGTCGTGCACCTGCACCCGCGTGTCGTGCAGAACCCTGCTCAGCTCCACACACGCCACACCTGACAGCTCCACCTGCTTATAGTTCTGCGTCTGGCTCACCTTCACGTTGTCATGGCAATAACCCTGTCAATCAATCAAGAATCCACCATGAGTAAAGAGACTCTTTTTACACAACTAAGTCTTTTATTCAGCTGACATTTCCGTGACCGTCTGTCAGCTTCCTCAGGGCAATTCTGACTGGTTCACATTGCACTGCAGCACAGGTGTCACTGCTATAGATGCATTCCCAAATGTACAATATTTACATAGTATTACATGTATCTATGGATATGCATGGATGTGTAAAAAAAGAGTCTCATCAACCCACAAAAGAGACTTATCAACCCAATGAAACTATTCACAGAAGAATCCACAAGAATTGTGTGTTTCATTAAAAATATTCGTCAAAAGTATTACATGTACATGTACATTGTTGCTGTTGACATACCTGTGCTGTTACAATATGGTCCGTGGTGACCCACAGCTGGTCCTCCAGTTGTTCCTGTCTGGACTGCAGGTCGGCAATCCCAGCATGCACCTCTGCCAGGCTGACGCGGCTGCGGAAATACTGCTGCACCAGCTGGTAGAACTCATGCTTGCTCTGATTGGTTTGCTGTAACGAGATTTCAAGACTATGATATACATGTACAACCCCCCAAAAAGTCTGTTAAATACATACGGAAATTCAATACAACACAGTGTATTCCGTATCACCTGAGGTACCAGCCTACGGCCGATCCAACCTGCGGTAGGGCTGGGACTGAGGGTGATGCAGAATACAAGAAAACATGCCTTTCCATGCAAAAGGAGCCCTTACTACCAAAAAATGCAACCACATCAATTCCGACATCCTGTATTCAAATTTTCGAAAGCGGCACACGCGGTTAGGGCAAAGTGCATTTAATTTAATATATATTCGAATCATTCTACATAAGCCATGATAGATATGTAAGGTCAGTGCACCCAGTATTTCAAGCTCTGTGTAAATACCAGTACTGGAATCCCTTGAACTATGACGGACTGACATACTAATAAATGTGAGTGAGAAGTAGATTTTTTAATCTCACCTTTTGGTTCCCTTTTTTCACCAACTCACCTGTAAGAAACAGTCCACCCATTCCTCCAGCTGGGGGAGTAGGGGATTATCATACAGACTCTGCAGCTGCTCTTGAGTCAGGGGCTGGGTAAAACCTTCGGGTAGAACCTGGGTTTCTTCTGTGGACTGGGTAATAAACAACAAACACTTGTCTTTAAGTCAGAAAGTTTGCACTGGGTCTTTTACATAATTTTTGAGTTACATGTAGTAGAAAGTTCTTGGAGCTGGGAGTATGTGTTGTAAGGTTGCAACCATTACGTATACATCCCAAAATGCACCTCTCTACAGTACCCAAATGATGTCTTAATATGCCCCAACAGTTACATAACAGAAATAATTTTGGGAATCAAAATTTGTAATGATTGCCTAATAAATGCTTACAACTTAATGCAAGACTGAGCAACCTTCTACATTTTTAAGAGTCCTTACCACAGAATGGGCATCTGTGCTTGCTACTGGAAGTTGTTCACCTTGGACACTGTCATCTTCCTCTTGTGTTACTGTCAGGTTGACGACATATTTCACCTGCGTCTCCTCTGTAGTTGACTCTTTTCTCCCCTCCTCCTTTGTGGCGACTTCGGGGATTTCTACAGGCTCACTTTGAGCTTCACTGGCTTCATTACTTGGTAAAACATTTGTTTGAGGGATTTCTTCTGGTTGGCAAGTTTGGGTCTCAACAGCAGCACTTTCTGTCGTCACACTCAAGACAACCTCAGGTGTAGAGACAGGAGGATCTTCCTCTTGATTTTGTTCCTCCTCAAATTCCTCAAGTGTCTTGTTTTTTGTCTCTACTTCTTCTGGGAAGGTCACATAATTGGAACTGGTAATGTTTGAGTCCTTAGCTTGTACTTGTAGTTCAGCGTCAGGAATACTGTCTGGTGAATGTTGAGTTGGGATTTCTTTGGATGTTAAATTTACCTGTTTGTTCTCTTGTGTGTCTACAGGTTCCTTAATGGATGAAATGTCTTCTGTTTCTTGGTCTTGTACAGGTTTGCAACTGTCTTCGCTTCTTGCTGTTGTATCTTCAATGACCTTTTCTTGTACTGAATTACTGTCGTCTACATGCTCAGCGATGTCCTTTGGCACAGTCCTGTTTTCTTCTGTGGTACACGTTATTTGACGATCTTCAAGTTCTAAGGGTATTCTTGTTTCAACAGTGCTGGAAGATTGACAACAATATTATTACTTAGATCAATAATAGTTATTTTACCCTAGATAGATAGATATTACGCATTGACAAATTTCATGGCCAAATGGCTCTGGACTGGGGGAGAAATTAAACCAGCTCATATTGCTCAATCTGAGTGAAAAGATATATAATGTGGACCACTAGAAAGACATACAAAATGCCACAGTTATATGAATTATCCAAGACATGTATAATACATCTTGCATACATAAAGCCTTTCACACTCAAACTTTCAAAGATATAAATCAAAATACATGCACATGTACAGACAGTACATGTAAGTTAAACGTTATATTTAATAGGATTCTAGTAGGAATGCTACTGGTGAGTGGGTGCGCCTCCCGAACAGCTTTACCACCTCACTAGTATTATTACTAGTTTTTAATCATTACCATTTTTGTATATAGTGTATGATATTTCATGACAATGCACAGTATTTCATGTTTAATGTATGATATTGTAGGTATTTGTATTTCATGTTCATGATTGTAATCTGTTTTGTATAATCTTAATATTGCAATCTGTATTAATATTGTAGTGTTGGGGAGGACAAATTGTAAAGATTTCAATGCACCTGTTTTGTCCTCCCTTCCACACTTGTGGTGAATTCAAATAAACAAATAAACAACCTGTCCAGTTGTCTTCGTCCAGCCACAGATTCATCTTTACTTGTGCCGCGTATGGATGGTGCTGTGGGCGTCACTTTAGTTTTTGCCTGAGGGTACAGAAAATCACAACATTCAGGCAATTTAGGCCTAGAAAAATCAAATTATGTTGCGTTGTGTTAAACTTATCTAATATAACGTTACAGAGAACTTTATTGACACAACAAAAAGCACAGCTACTTTCGTAAGGTCTAAAACTGCATGTAAGTTAGATATAACGTTAACGTTACAGACAAATACATAACTGTGTTATACTACTCGACGGCTTTGTTCTACATGGAAGTCCAGTGCTTACGACCACTTCCGGACTGGAGTTACAGTGCTGAGGAAGGAGAGTGTTATATACATGTATAAGCGCCCAAACGTGACATTTTTACTTACGTATGACACGGAAGTGGTGTCATCAACAGTAGAGCTCGAGCTTGGAAGGATATATATCACAGACTACAAGTATACACAGTCTAGTCTTAATAACTCTGCAAACTGGCAAAATACCAAACATCGCATGATCCTTACGATGACTTTGTTCCTGTTCCTGCTACACAATTAGCGTCAGTGTGACCTGTACCGTCCTAAAATCAACTCGTACCTTAGTTTTCCTCGACGTCGACCGCGGCTTTCGTTCTGCCTCCGCCATTTTGGTTAACCTTTGAACCCTGAACATAGGTCGAGGTCCACAACAACAACAACACCAACGTCCACATATAACGTTTCATTATAAGATACGGACTGGTTTGCGTTTGGGATAACAACAACAACATAGCGTCGGCGAAAGCAATAGAATCTGGTCTATGTTTACTAGTTTAACCAAGGACATTATATTCTGTGTATAATGTCCCCTTTTAAAATCATATCCACCGGCACGTGATAGTGGGGAATCCTAGCGGTTCAAATTAAAACTGCCTCTTTTTTAGAGGCCTGCTTTCAAGTTCTAATGTTAGTACTAGTACAATGTATTTGAGTGTCAATTATACAAATGTAGTTGCTCGTATGTCGTATATCTACTCAACTTCTTGGTCAAGCGTCAGAAGTGAACAAACATCCTCAACGCTTCTTGCTTGTTACATGTAACATCCGTGTCCATAATATCACCAGGGTCCATAATATCGCCTGGCCTTGAGAAAAAGTGTGCTTAAAGATATTTTCACTGCAACACCCAGGTATGTACATTTGAGGCGTGCAGGAGTGCATACCAAAAGTATGTTGCAGTAAAGATATCTTAAAGCACACTATTTCTCAAGGTGGCGATATTATGGACCCTGGTGATATTATGGACACGGATGTTAGGGACCGTTCGCAAAAAAAATTCCCTGGCCCTCACCCTAAGCTAAATATTTTCCCCTGCCCCCCCCCCGCTATAAGAAAAATTTCCTTGTCCCTCCCCCCTTTCTGAAACATTAAAACTCCCCCAAAACTATTCAAAGATGCTCGAAAATGACACAAAAACGACTATAGTATATCATCCTAGTTAAAACTTATTCATTTAATTAGCTTAATAAATAAATCCTCAAGGTACGGACGTTATTTATAAAGTTATACATTGTAATATTATATATATATGTGTTCAGGGCGCGGTACAACAAATGTATATCTACGGCCGCTGTGTGTGTGCCCGCCCCGCCAAGGATTATAGCGCGGACCGGCCGGGATTTTTAAACGTACCTGGTGGTGACAGTTGGGCCAGAGGCGGCGGCAGGAAATCTTCAGACTGGGGGGCGAGATTTCTATGGAACCGCCAGAGCGTCGAAGGGGCGAGCCGCCGCCGCGAGCCACCTGTGACGCCTACGGGCCGGGGGCATGCTGCCCCGGAAAATTTGCCCTCTGAAAAACGTAGTTTTCCTGCATTTGAGGGGGGAAATTTTGCTGGTATACGAAGCTAAGTTTTGAGTGGTTTGTAGCTAAGTTTCTTAATCGCGTTATTCGAGTACATGGCGTCCAAGAACTTCTTCCACATTATTATATAGCCTGGGTGCCATACCCATAACACTGGGCACAAGGTCCCTATCAGGCTTACAATATTTAAGAGGATTCACAATCAGAGTATAAGGGTATAAGTTTTGGCTGGGTCATATTAGGAAGACAGGATTGCGGCTAGATCCATATTTCAACTCAAATGTCAAAGATCACTAACCTTTCAAAAGAGTTTCTACGCTGTTTGATATTCAAAGCCGGCCACAACTTACTAATTAAATTAAAGACAAGACTTTGATATGAGACAGCGTCCATTACAAGTTAGTGAATGAGCTAAAAGTAGAAGAGAGGGCAAGGACGAGATATCAGCAGACAAGTCTTCAGAACAAGTAAAATATCACGAATGGTTTGTTGTGCAGTCCCCTTGCCTGGCCCGCTGGTATCCAGTCTTACGTGATTGGGCTGTTTGGGGTGTTCAGATAGGCTGTCTTCGGGCCACTAATAGCTTCCCCCCGCCCCGTGCAACAGGCCGACCGGGTCAGGATACCTATCAGGCGGGCGGGACAGAGCTCCTGGAGCCCCATGGAAAACCTGCCCCTCCCTACCACGTAAGACTGGATACCAGGCTAATGGTCTAGTATCTATTACCAAGGTAGCCTGGTATCCAGTCTGATCGTGTCCCGCCCGCCTCATATAGGTTTCTCCGTGTGTATTTTACGAGAGATTGATTAGCCCTCCACGAAGTTCTTGTTGGGGGGAAACCAAATCCTCAAGCGTACTGTCTCGTATTAGCCTAACACTCCTACCGCGGGACGGCCTGTTGCACTGGGCGGGGGAAGCTATTAGAGCCCCCGAAGGCACAACCTGCCTGAACACCCTAACAACCCCAATCACGTAAGATTGAACGTCCTTGCTATTACATAACAGCTCTTACATAATATGCAAGCTCCGTACGTGTTTCTCAGGGTGCTAATAATTATTGTGTCAAATTATATAAATCATCCGTTTACTCAATTAAAGATTTTGCAGTTGACGAAATTTCAAAGAAGATTCTGAGTCGAAGACCATAGCTACTCTCTTCCACCCAATTATCGAGCCAGAAAGGACAACTCTTATGTAACAACTCTTATATAACAACTCTTATATAAACACTCTTATATAACCACTCTTTTATACCAACTCTTATGTAATGCAAACTCAGGGCCATTAACCGGCACGGGTGTTAGCTCCGTACCTGTTTCCCACGATGCAAATAATTGTTCTGTTAATTGTACGTAATCACCCGTTCATTCAATTAAAGATTATGTAATGTACTTGTTATCCTCTATGTAGACTTGCGTTTATCAGCTTTGCTGCCTGTAAGTCTGTGTAACTTGCGTTGATTGCATTAGAAACCGGGTGTGCACTGCTAAGACGCAGTTGTATCACCCCGTCCTGCAAATAAGGAGCGCCGACCTCCCCCCCCCGGCACAGTCGACGACCTCCCCGGCACAGTCGACGACCTCCCCGGCACAAGCGCCGACCTCCCCGGCACAGGCGACGACCTCCCCGGCACACGTATTGTGCTAGAACACAGCTTAAAAACTGCAGGTGAGTACTGAATCTTACAGCTCAGCAAAACAGTGTTTGTTGTTGTAATTGCCTTTATTTTGCTTTAAATTTGTGTAAAAGAGAGGTTGAGTGCGGCTGTGTTTTTAGTACTTTAGTTTTCATACTCTGTGTGTTTAGTCGTTGTTTTACCTTTATGACCACATAGATTTCAACATTTTGTTGCCAAACTTTTTTTTATTCGCACGCTGGTTTTAGGGTCCCGAGAGGTTGTCATCTATATAATCAAATTAATATGGCCTTATAGGAGTATATACACCCTTTAATCTGGAGTCACATTTGAAACGGGGCCTGCTCGGCATGTTCTCGGTGTAGACGCCAGCCGGCGTCATGAAGCCGAGCGTACGCCGGCTGTCAGGGTAACAATAAATGTTCCTTCACGGCTTCCTGTCGGGGCGCTGAGGCGGCTTCTATTTAAAATTCACAAACTTTTGGCCCTTTGACGGCCGGTTTCTGATAGGGACCCGTCCTGTGCCCGGTCAGTCTTCCGTCTTGACCCGTGCGGGATACGGTGGGGCAGCTACAGGGTCCCTGGCGGGGTTCAGGGGCGACTCTGGTGGGTCCCAGGCTGGTACACCCCTGGCTGGTATGGTGGGTTTGCCCCTGGTTGATGCACAGACCCGTGTACGACTCACTGATGATGGAGCTATGTCGAGAACATCACAACCTTCTTCTGAACACAGATCAGCACACGTGACGTCATAATCTTGGACAGGTGGCTGTGCGGCCACCTGGCGGGACCCGGCGGCTATGTTACTGCTTGGTCCGGTGAGGTTACGGCGTCGGTTCGGACGTACCTTGCCTGACGGGGCCCAAAGTGATTTTTAAAAGTTTGAGTTAAATCAATTCAACGACCGCGAAGGGCCAAAAATAGACCGGCAGCCGTCGGGAACCCCACCAGTCTTCGTCCCAGGTCCCGTTCGGTAGTGCCGAGAAAACAGGCCGAAAACGCGCCGAGCGGGCCCCATTCTTGAATTGTGACCTAGGCTTTAGCCGGTACCTCGAATGATTTGAAGTATTCTCGTGATCTCCAATTGCAAGCAGATCTTCTGGTGTCTACAAACTTTTAAGTCATACATGCGAATCTAAAAGACAGAATCAAACTGGCTAGGCAGTAACTTTGTTGTTACATTATACCACAGGGGTCAAAATATAGGCCCCCTGGACCTACTTTTAAGCTGGAGTCACATTTCCAACGGGGTCTGAGCGGCATGTTCCCGTTGTAGACGCAGGTTGGCGTCATGAATCGGTCAGGGTCACAATTGAATGTTCCTTTACGGCTCCCTGTCGGGGCACGGTTGTGCTCCGGGCGCCACTGAGGCGGTTTCTATCTAAAATTCACAAACTTTTGAGTTCGGCGAGTGTGCCTGGATGGTCTACTGGGAGTAGGTTTTGAGGTGCAGTTGATGCCTTGTTTGATGACCAACAAATCTATGTGAAACTTGTAAAAGCAAAGCTGATTAGCCGATCTTTCCTCAGGCGTTCTTGTAGCGAAGGCCACTGGAGGTCGCTCAGCATGTCACTAACGCTGGAAGTATGTCTGGAGCGGTGTACTGCCCAGCGAGCCGCTCTGCGCTGCACTGCTTCGATCCTGTTTATGCATGTCCTTGACGGAGTACAGATTCGCATGTATGACAGGAGCAGACACTTAACACTAGCTCGCCGAGGTCTTTACTGCCCAGTTTTTAACCCACACCTAGGCGAGGGTTGAATAAGAACCAGTGGGCGGATCATCGTGATGTTTGGTATGCAGGTATTGGAATTTGCCAGCTGAGTCTATAGGATCTGTACTCCGTCAAGGACATGCATAAACAGAATCGAAGCAGTTAATTAGTGATTTGGATATTTGGTGTTCTTGAATGTTCTGTCCTTCCTGAAAATCATCACTTTGGTTCTCTTCAGGTTTACTTGAATGTCCCACTTTTAACACAAAATGCATTATAGGCTTGTCTAGTGCACATAGCGTGCGTAGTCCAGTGGTTAGCGATCCTGCCTCTGGACTAAGAGGTTGGGAGTTCGAATCCCAGCCGATGTCGCTCACCCGACATGCACGCTACTGTTTAGGGTCGCAGTCCTTCGGACGGGACATTAAGCCGTGGTCCACTGTTCATTGTGCTTGTCGAAAAGAGCTAGGGGAATTTCCCCGGTACAATGAACCTGTAAATACTGTACATAGCGTCTGTCTTCTCTGTCACGACCAGTGGAAGATTAGCTCTTCAATGAGCTAAACTGGTTCACTTTCACTTTCACTTTCACGTTGTAACCCTGTTTCTGATTCCAAAAACATCACATCGTCGTCTGCATTAAGCAGACAGAATACAAGTAAAATTGTGTAAGGTGGGCGGGGCACAATAAATGTTATCTAAATCATTAACAAGGTCGTTAATGAATATGTTAAAGAGAGTTGGACTGAGGTTACATCCTTGTCTGACTCCTTTATCAGTAATAAACGATGGTGTGATGCCAACTGACGTTTTGACACAAGTTTGTGGGTTGGAGTACATAGATCTGATTTTACCTTAGAACTTCCCACCTATCCCTGAGCTGAGTAGTTTATACCACAGTCCTTCACGCCAAACACTATCAAAAGCTTTCCGGAAATCGACAAAGCATGCATAATGTGTCAATGACGAAGAGTTTGTCGTTAGTTCCAAAGTTTTTTCTAAAGCCGACCTGGTTAGGGGAGACGAGGTTATGTTCATCTACTAAGGTAGACGAGTGTTTATTACAGCTGTGAATACTTAAGCGAGGCAGCTAATGACTGAGATACCCCGATAATTGTTCGGGTCCTCTTTAGACCCACATTTATGTAGTGGTGTGGCTTATGCGCCATTGTAAGGGAAAGGGTCCAGATTCAAATAGCAAATTGAATAGTTTGGTCAGCGGTTTTCTCATGTTAGCATCTCAGTAAGGATCAGGTCGTTGCCTGAGGCTTTATTATTCTTTAGTTTTGGAGACTGCTTTCGTGATTTCCAGCTGTTGTATAATAGTATCTAAATAATCAAGGCTTGCAGATTGTTTGTTTCTAATCTGAATTTCGAAAATGATTGTTGGATTCCGGGGACTTAGATGTACTGTCTCTTCCGTACAACCCTTGGAAGTGCGCGAGGAGTGCCTGTTTGTTGTGTCTTCTAAGGGAACGGAATCATTTGTTTTGAACTGTTTAACCAGCTCGCAAAAGGCTGACGGGTTGTTGCCGGAATAAGAATTAAGTTGATGGAGAATATTGTTTTTGTAAGTCCTTTTAGTTTTCCGAATAAGTCGAGTGTATTCCTTTTTTCTTCTGAAATATAGGCCCCTATAAAAGGGCCCCTATGTTTTTTCGAGAGGAGCTTGCCAAGATCTTTTGATTTCTTTCAGGCAGTATACGTAGCACAGTTCTCAGTAAACCTTTTTACCTCCATGAAAAATGGAGGTATTGTTTTTGGCGTGTCTGTCTGTCTGTCTGTGTGTGTGTCTCTCTGTCTGTGTGTGTGTTTCCGCAACTTTGTAGTCAGCATAACTTCAGAACGCCTTTATGGATTGTGATAATATTTGGTATGATGGTAAGTCTTGGAAAGACAAAGGTCAAGGTCAAGTATGGGCCTCCTGGTGGATGACCTTGGTACTGCAGCAGAACTTCCAGTTTTTGTATCTTTTGTCCTGAACAAGTTATGGTCTTGACTTTTTGGTGACAGATAGCTTATCCTGTCAGGAATAAGTGGCGTAAGTTTGGTTCCCCTAGCAGCTTGTTCTGGAACTGCATGTTAGTTTCTGGTAAAAACTTTCAAAGCCAATAAGTCCAGATTGGAACAACGTATTTTCATCATTTTTGGTGTGTAGGTACCTGAGAAACAGTTGTACATGATTAAATGCAAATTATGCAAATGAGGACTTAATTTGCATAATTAATGAGGAAATTCTATAATTACAGTGTTTCATATAATGGTACTGCTATACCTGTAATCTATTTAATCTGTGGCAGGCGGAACATCAACAGATACCAATTATGCAAATGATGACCTAATTTGCATAATTAGTGTGGAAATTCTGTGAATCCATATTGGTGAATGATGGGAATTTTATACCTCGTAACTTTTGTAAGTTACTTAAAGGTTTGCATTGCTATGCATATATCATGTTAATGTAGAGGTTATTTGCATAATTAATGAGGACAAAGCAAGCCCATATTTTATGGAGGTATGAGATCTCGGAACTCTTGTTGTTTTTGTTGCGGGAATGAGTTGCTTGCCTTGTACGACGTAGAACTTGTGATTTTTTGCCTGCCTCCTGTAGTAGTGTAGAGGAGAAACTAAGTCGTTCAGAGCGACATCGAGAGAGTTTGGGGTTGCCTCGTAGCTCCTGCTGGCGGAAGTGAATTCGAGGCTATCTACTGTTTCTAGAAACTTTAAATTTGTTTGGAATCAGCTCTCCATAAAAATTTACAATGTGGATGAGTAGGCAATGTGCTAGTTATCTGTTCTGAGAGTCGGTTAGCATTGCTATGTAAAATTAGGGAGAGTTTACAATGGTCGGAGAGTGGGGTTAATAGGGGTACATGGAAGAAGGAGATTTTATGGAGGAGAATATTTTCACTAGCTTGTAGTCTACAGTCTAGAGCGTGCAGCAGGAGAGGGAAGGGCCCCTGAAATCTTCGGAAACGAAGCCAAGCCGACGATCACATCATGCATAGTCTAAACATTTTTCGTCTGTCTTCCAGTGATACCCACTGTTAGTTTCTTTTCATTTCCTTGACACTAGCACCACTTTCATAGTTCATACAGGATCGTACAGCTTGATTCTGCACCCTTTCGAGTTTGTCTTTATCTTTGTCTATGGATTCCATACTGTTGCGGCATATTCTAGATTCGGTCTTACAAGTGACGTGTATGCAAGTGATTTTACTCTAGTTGGGCACGTTAGAGTAGATATTAGCTAGATATGTAGCATTTCTGAAGAGTTTGCCATACATTGTGCCTGTTACAATTGTTGTGCAATTAAGTTTGAATATTTGAATATTGTTATCTATTCATATTAGTTCGCCATTATGAAGACGGCCGTGAGTGTAGGGGTACCCTTGGTGCTGATCCTGGTCGTCTCTGCGTTCCTCATCGGGACTGTGTTATGGAAGGATCCATCATCGAAACATGGACACCGCGTCATCAAAAGATCCATATGTTCGTGTTTTTCTCCTAATTATCTAGTTAACAAATAGCGATGACGCTCAAATGAACAGATGGTACATATGTACATGTATCTGGGAATCACACTTGTATTACTATATAGATCGGTGGCCATATCGTCTTTTGAATAAAAGTAGTGTGTAAAAATCATCAAGCACGGTTCATTGCTCGATTCAAAGGCTCTAAAGAGCGTTTGGTGGAAGAAAGATTGAAGCCTTGCCACATTGGAGAAAAAAAACAGTGTTTTAATTTGCTCGAAACTAGAATGATTACACAGGGGCGATCTTATGGCGATAGCTTACATTTGAATGCCTAACAAAAATAAATTAACCATCATAGGAAAAGGAAAGAAAAACTCCTGTATCCTATACTCTACCGACCTTATGAAATTATAACAAAAAATAACTATATCTAAGAACGTATACGTAGTAATTGTCCGGTAAAAAAAGGAGTGACCGACCTTCCCCTGGGGTTATGATGTTTCTGTGTTGTTGCATTATTGTCGAGTGATCTTCAGGATGCCCTTGGAGAAGCAGCTTCAGAAGTTGATCAATCATTGATAATAGTATAATAATATGTTTGAACGTGATAAGTTTTGTGTAAAGAGGTTTGAATAAAGTTTTTCCCTCTAGCGTTGATGTTTCTTCATACCCTTCTGTGCTCCAGCATTGCCGGATGATCTGCAGGATGCCCTTCTTGCAGCAGCTGCTGAAGACGCCCCTGCTTACGTCCACGATAAGCGTTTCGTTCCGGGCATTGCCAGCCTTGCGGGAAGTCTTTTCGGTAAGTCCTCTAACTCTGGTTATTACTAACAAATGGCTCATATCCTCCCCGTTGACACCATAACCCTATATTTCCAGTGATTGAAAATTCCTCATGATCAGTCACTGAGAGAGTGAGAGGGATTATTCGTACGTTCTCGTTCAGTGTTAACGATCTAAAAAATTATTTACTAGCGTTACAGCTTTAACAGATTTAACAGCTAGCTTTCATTCACCTGCTTTGTTGTACCTTCACCAAATTTCTTTGATATTTTGTGTGGCTTTTTATCTATTAGTATTAAGACTACATGTATCTGTAGGCTGTGTATGTATACATATATATATATATATACATGTATATATATATATACTACAGCAGCGACCATCCCACAAACCATAAAAAGCCCTGTTCTTGTAATGTTTCTCCCATGTTATTTCGCCATGTAAAGCAAAAGCAAAGAAGTTCGACCCAGCACAACTGACTGACACAATACAACAATTGGGCTCCATGAAGAACATGGCGCCTGACATCATGGCCCAAAGTGTGAAACAGGAGGCTGAAGTGACAGAAGAGGTTGAAAAGCAGGTGGCGGAGGAAACGGTTGATAAGCTATTTGCGGAAGGTAAATAATTTTCAACGCATCTGTAACTAAGCATCTTGATCTTGAATTGCTTTCTGTACGACCCGGCTTTTACCTCTTGCACTGTCAAAGAAAATAAGAACAGCACTGTTTGTTCAATTATTGATCATGACTGTAGTGAGTAAGATACAGCTTGTTATCAAAGCTAAGCTTACCGATGACATTTATGTCACACCATGTTACAGCTGGACGTTTAAACGGACAAGGATTGAGAGGTGTGGGCGGCGGTGGAGGAGAGATAAAGGTACAGCCGAATATTGCATTTTGTTGTGAAATGCGTTCAGTTTTTCCACCTGAGAAAACATGGGAGCAGGTCTGTAGTAAGCATGAAGGTTTGGCATTGAGGAAAATAGGAGAGGCAACCT